TGGTGGGGAAGGAGTTTGAGAGTTTTCGGAGTAGTGGCGAAGACCTAGGAGCACATTGCTCAGCGCTGAGTCATCAGAAAGCATGGAGAGATCGATCAGGAACTTCAGCTTTTTGATTCAACTACCATCAGAGTCTAAGCAACAATTGAGGAAGCGACCAATTATCAGCCTGGCCTAGTTTTTCCTACTTGCATCCACTCTAGAACAGATGAAAGTCCTAGAAAGCGAGGAGGAGAAATGAGATTACTTTGGCACAGGGTGTTCTCTATGCCTTGTTCCCACCCTTCCCCCCGGGATGTATCTGGATGGACTTCGGAGCAGCCATAGAATTTCTCACAAGCGCTTGAGGATGATCAGGAGCAGAGAAGCCCCGTGAATCACCAGTCCCTCCCGGACCCCGCTGGGCGTCCCACCAGGGGGTGTGGAAGGTGGAACCGAGAAGTCAGAGAGGAGTGTGGGCCGGGAGGGCAGCCAAGGCTCTTTCCTTGGGCCCAGGAGGAAAAGCACAGAGTTGGACGAGAGTTGGTTCCCTCAGCCAAGACGAGGGCTTCCTCTGCGGTGCCCGTGTCCCAGCCGCCTTCGCCAGGGACTGGCTGAGGATGTGGCCGCCACGGAGAACGCCCGCGTGGACTGGACGGCGAAAGCCCAGCGAACTGACTCTGCTAACCTGGGCATGGTTAGAATCAGGTGGTTCTGTTTTGGGTTCTGTTTTTTACACCAAGCATAATGAGGACTTTTTGTATAAAGAAAATTCAGTTCGGCCAGCGTGGCTCCGGAAGAACAGTGACCCATACACCAAGAGGTCGCCGGTTCGATTCCCCGTCAGGGCCCAGGCCCAGGTTGTGGGCCCATCCCCAGTGGGGGCATAAAGGAGGCAGCCAATCGATGTTCTCTCTCATCGATGTTTCTTTCTCTCTTCTTCTCCCTTCCTCTCTCTCTAAAATCAATAAAGAAAAAACAATTTTTAATTCATTTGTAGGAAAAAATAACGGTACATTTTTGCACACACGCTTTTCCAAAGAGGTTGTTGGTGCCCAAGGGAGAGAAGCCCGGATTCTTACCGAGATCTTATGTCCCAGATGCCAAGGGCAGGAAAGTCAAGGGAAATCCCCTATTTCCTACCTCCAAATTATACCAATTTTCAGAACTGAGTTAAATAATTTAACTCCTTTATTTATTATTTTATATTCTCCATGTTGAAGGATTTCATCTAGCAAATAAGTTATGTGTTGAGGAATAATCAATCCATATTTTCACATTTTAAACCAAGGGATATACAGCTAATTTTCAGTGTTTCTCATCAGCTTGAATTGATTGAGTCACTCCAGGTCAATGAGAGACTAATATATTTATTTTTCTTTTTTTCAGACTTGATTTTTTTTTAGAGAACTTTCATGTTAAAGCAAAATTGAGAGGAAGGTACAGCGATTTCCCATATGCCCTCATCCCTCATACATGCATAGCCTCTACCATTATTAACATCCCCCACCAGAGTGGTCCATGTGTTACCAGGGATGAATCTACATTGACATATCGTAATCACCCAAAGTCCATGGTTTATTTGAGGGTTTGCTTTTAATGTTGTAAAATCTTTGGGTTTGAACAAATGTATAATTACATGTATTCATCATTATAAAATCATATAGACTATTTTCACTGCCCTAAAAATCCTCTGTTCTCTGCCTATCCAACCATCCCTTAACCTCCAACCCTGGCAAACACTGAACTTTTCATTGTCTCTTCTTCTGCCTTTTCCATAAGGCCTTATAGTTGGAATCAGACAGCATGCAGCCTTTCCAGATCGGTTTCTTTTACTTAGTAATAGGCATTTAAGTTTCTTCCTTGTCTTTTCATGGCGTGATAGTTTATTTCCTTTTAGTGTGGAAAATATCCCATTGTCTGATGTATCACAATTTGTTCACCCAATCGTCTACTGAAGGGCATTGCATTGCCTCTGAGTTGGGGAAATTATGTATTAAGGCTGCTATAAACATCATTGTGCAGACTGTTGTGTGGACACAAGTTTTCACTTCATTTGAGTAAATATCAAGCAGCACAGTTGTGGTCAGTTGTGTAAGAAGCCATCAAACTATCTTCCAAAGTGGCTACCCACTTTGCATTCCCATCAGCAATGAATGAGGGTCCCTACTGCTCCACATCCTCCCCAGCACTTGGCATGGTCACTGTTTTCAATTTGGGACATTCTGGTAGGTGTTAGTGCTATCGGGTTGTTGCTGTAATTTGAATTTTCCTGATAGCATGTGATGTGGAGCATCTTCCCAGATGCTTATTTGCTATCTGTATATATTCTTTAGTGATGTGTCCGTTAGAGTCTTTGCTCCATTTTTAAATTAGATTTTTTGTTTTCTTATTGTGGAGTTTTAAGTTCTTTGCATATTTTGGATAACAGTCTTTTATCAGACATGTCTTTTGCCAATATTTTCTCCCAGTTTGTGGTTTGTCTTCTATCTCTTGGCATTGTCTTTCATCAAACAAAAGTTTTTAATTTTAGTGAAGTCCAGTTTATTAATTATTTCTTTCATAGATTATATCTTCAGTTCTATACCTAAAAGGCATCATCATGGCCCTAGCCAATTTTTCTCAGTGGTTAGAGCATCGGCCTGGGGACCAAAGGGTCGTGGATTTGATTTCCTGTCAAGGGCATGCACCTGGGTTGCAGGTTTGATTCCCCCACCCTGGTGGGAGTTGTGCAGGAGGCAACCAATCAATGTGTCTCTCTCACATCGATGTTTCTCTCTCTCTCTCTCTTTCTCCCTCCCCTTCCCACTCTATTGAAAAAGCAATAGCCTTGGGTGAGGATTAAAAAAAATTAAAAAGGCATTACCATGGCCAAAGTCATTTATGTTTTCTCCTATGTTATCTTCTAGGAGTTTTGTAGTTTTGCAATCTGTATTTGTCTATGATTCATTTTAAGTTAATTTTGTGAAAGGTGTACAGTCTGTGTCTAGACTCATTTTGGCACGTGGGTGTCCAGTTGCTTCAGCACCACATGAAGAGACTGTCATTGCACCTTTGTACAGCTTTTGTTTCTTTGTCAAAAATTACGTGACTATATTTACGTGAGTACATTTCTGGGCTTTCTATTCTGTTCCATTGATCTATTTGTTGGTTCTTTTGCCAATATAACACTGTTCTGATTACTGTAACTTTATAGTGAGTCTTGAAGTCAGATAGCATCTGTCCTCCCACTATCTTCTGCTCCTTCAATATCATATTGGCTACGCTGAGTCTTTTGCCTCTCTGTATAATCTTTAAAATCAGGTTACTGATATACATTTGTCTTTTCATCTGAGTAATTCATCTCAGTCAATCTTTCCACTTTGGTTGCCTGGAACATCAGTGTGAGGCATATCTGCGCAGTCACTGAAATTATGTTTATCCTTATGGTTGGAAAATTTGATTTTCTTCTCTAATTCTTGTTTTTATTCTTTTATTTAATTTTATTTTTTGAATCATATTACTGCAATGCAATAAATATAAAAATGGATGACACAGTCAACCCGGTCTTTATATTTTCCATGGTTCACCTGCCTTGCGGTGATGGAGACCTTCTAGTCAATAAACTTGGGAGCTAGCAATACGATTACCATTTTCACCTTCAACTAATGCATTTCATTCTTGGTTTTTGTGACTTAGGAAGGGAGTCACTATTCTTCACAAGACAAGAGGGAAATCAGACTTCTGGGTGATCAGCCTTTTCAAGTGGGTTATGGGCTTACAAGCTCCTATTAACAAAGTCCTCAATAACCCTGATTTCCTCTGATTTGAATACTGTTGCATTGAAGAGATTCCTCTGCCTTCTTTCGTCGTGCAGAAACCTGAGTTGGTTCTTTACTGATAACACACAGAATATGATCCAAAATGACCCAGCAAGATATGCAGAGTAGACAACTGCTTTAAATGTCTGTTTCAACATATTCTCTTTCAAAAATAGAGCAAATTCTTTGCTAATAACAAATATTGGTGAGCTACTGGCATTAAAAATGGTTTTACTTATTTTATCAATTAAAATATGAGTACCTCTACCCAATTTCAACTTTCATACATGCTTCTCCATTATTTCTAATGAGATAAAGTAGTTAACTTATTAGTTAACATTTTGAGCACTTATTATGTACCCCACACAGTCTTAAATAATTTTATATTTATTTCACATAATCTTCTTAACACTCTTATGAAATGTTGATGTCATTTTCTCTCCTTTTTAGATGAAGAAACTGATGCAGAAGAATATTAAACTTTTCCCCCTAGATCATAGTCTAATAACTGAAAAACAAGAATTTGAATCTAGGTAGACTCTAACCTCCTAAGACTGTATTCTTAATCACTTCTTTGATGGCCTCCATCTCATTCCAAACTATTTTTAACTACTTGAATATACTACAGTCTCCCCAAAACACTAGGATTTAAAATCACTTGTATTGAATTTATATGCATGACCAACATTCATTAAGCGTTTGCATGTCATTTCTTGTTCTCTGAAAATTCTTCCCTAGAAAGCTTATATTTATCCTTCAAGGCTCCAAATCCCTTCCTCGGTGGAGCCTACCTCTCCCTCTCCTCCTCCAGATAGTAGTTGTTGCTTCGTCTTCCATGCTTACTTAGCACCTTGTTCATACCTTGTGATAGAACTTAACCCTATAACTGTAAGACTTTCTTTAAGGCAGCTGGCTGTTCTATTTCTTTGACACCTGGTAGGTGCTAAATATATTTTTCTGAGATAAACATATAAGAATTCCTCAAGTCCCTCCCGCCTGCCCAATAATTATTCTGGGATGAAATTCAAGAACAGATATGAATATACTTTTTGGAGCAAGAGGAAGAATAAGTGCATATAATTTATGTATAACTAGAACAAGTGAAATCTCAAAGAGATGGAAGAATACTGTTGAAGCCATGTCTATTTCCTAACCTACAGCAATATGCTCCTAAAGATAATATCCCACAGAAGAACAGAATTCGTCCAGAATACCTTTCCACACGTCACAAGGACGAAGGAGCTGCACAGCCCTCTGCTCATCTTCATGGCGAAGCCCTAGGTTTGGAGGCCTTCCCAGATCACATCAAACGTCAACACTGACATCTGCTGGAAATGCACACTGCCCGCATTCTCTGCAGTTGGTTAAAGAAAAGAAAAGAGTGCACAGAAAAAAGATGATCAGAAACTACTGAAAAAGGACTGCAGAACCCAAACAAAGAACTAATATATGAAGAAAATGTGAGCATGCACAATGTTTTAATGAGAATATAATCTTGGCAAACAAATTTTGAAGATAAACAGACCTAGATCTATGACTGAATTGGCCTCAAAAATGTATTTGATTTTTTTTTTTTAAACAAAATAGGATAAATATCTCTGTATGTGAAGGATTCAATTGCTTTGCACTTCACGTTTCATAAATAGCATGGTTGTGCTCTCTGGATCAGAGAAACGCCAAACCATTTTGAGGCTTCGGTGGTCATGGAGATGGAGAACACGGGTTTGGTGCGGGGCTTGTTGCTGTGGCGTGTGTCACCTTGCTCATTCTCCTAAGTGTCCTTTCTGCAGTCTCACCCTTGATAGTAATGACGTGTTTGGGAAATAGTCAAACTGAAGAAGAATATACTTTACTCCACTTGTTTGTTTTTTTTATAAATTTTAAGTATAATTCAATGTAAAATATTTCTTTTTATACTTATTTTTCTTATATATTGAAATTCTTTGGTAAGGAAAAAAATCTGTGACTTGAGGAATATATTTCATTTTATTTAAAAAAAAAAACCCAGTATACTCATAATTGTTACCTATAAAAATTAACTCCTAGCTTCCTAGCATGAGTCTTTCATGTGAAGAGATGTTCATATTTTCTTCTAAATTTATTTCTTTTGGAAAAACAGGTATTTATTTTGTTCCTTTTGCTTTTTGCTTTTTTATAAATATTTTTATTATAAAATATAACAAGTAGACAAAAAAGTACATAAGACACAAATGTACAGCTTAATGCATTATAATAAAATGAGCACTAATGTAACCATCATTCAGATAAAGACAAACATTGGCAATCAGGCGTACAAGAATCCAAGTTGTCTCTTCTCAGTTACAATCCAACTCTAGCTGTTTTTTACATTTAACCCCTAAGTATACGTCTCTGAATACTATAGTGTTGCTAGGATTTAATCTTTATATAATGGGCTCATAGTGAACGTTTTCTTTTACATTTGGCTTTATTCAGTCAACATTCTGTAAGCTCCATCCAGGTCACTGCATGTAGCTGTGATTTTTTTTTTATCTTCATTGCTCACTATTTTTCATTTTATGACTATATTACTATTTGTTCATCCAATCTATTGTTTATGTATACTTGGGTCATTTCTCATTTGGAACAGTTTCCAATTCTTTTATACACATTTCTATGCATGTCTCATGGTGCATTTGCAAGCATTTTTGTTAGTTATAAACCCAAGAGTGGATTTGCTGGGTTATAGGTTATAGGGGTCTTCAACTTCAGTAACACAAAATCTTTTTTTCCCCTCACCTGAGGACATTTTTGCATTTATCTTTAGATAGAGCAAGAGGGAGAGAGAGAGAGAAACATCTATATGAGAGAGACACATTAAGTGACTGCCACCCACACGACCCCAACGGGAGCCAGGGACAAACTGCAACCGAGGTACGTGCCCTTAGCAGGAACTGAACCTGGGTCTCTCTGGACCGCAGGCCAATGCTCTAACCACTGAGCCAAACTGGCCAGGGCTCTAGAAGTTTTTTAAATACTCTTGTTTATTTGACCTCTGTTGGCCCTCCTATTCAGTTTCTTAATGTTCTGTTGAACAGAATTACTTCATTTGAACACAGTAAAATTTATCAAGTTGCACCACGTAAATGACTTTAGCTTGAATGTTTCTTATATCTGAGGTTCTGGCAAGCAAGTCACCTCATCCTTATGGGTATATAAATACATATAGTAAGGATGCAGAAAAAGATAAGGCCCGTTGGGAAACCATGTGTCTTCAGATATGTTTTCCATTGTGAGCTGATCCTGTCCTCATAGATGTTATAAAACACTTAAGATTCTATCTGAGAAAGAGGCGTTTATCTATGTCCCTACTGAATTCTCTCATTCTCTTTCCATCAATCCTATGGCTCTCCACCAGGTCACACAAGAAGTTCGGTGTCACCCTGTCTCCTTCCTGTTTCTATTTCCCCTCCATATGCAATCAATTACAAATCACACTCCTTGAAACTTCTATATTTTATGTTTCTTCCTATCCCTTGAGCAGCCACGTATATGCATCTCTTGGATCTCCAGTTGTGCCGGAAGTGTGGCTGACTGACAGTCCTAGCTTCTTTCACCCTGAATGCACACGTGTCATACCAAGGCCGTAGTTCTCGTGAGCCACTTTTTTTTTTTCTTGCATTATAGCGTAGTGAGAAAATGAAGGTCTTTTACAACTTTTACTATTTTTTACCAATACATTTTTAATTGAGATATAATTGACATATATCATGATAATAGTTTCAGGTATACAACATAAAGATTCAGTATTTGTATATGTTGCAAAATGATCACCACAGTAAGTCTAGTAAATATTCATCACCACACACAGTTACAATTTTTTCTTCTTGTGATGAGAAATTTTAAAATCTACTCTCTTAACTTTCAAACATGCAATAAAGTATTAGCAATACAGTTACCATGCTGTGTATTAGATCCCCAGGATTTACTTGTTTTTAACTGGAAGTTTGTACCTTCTCATCACTTTAACTTTTGTCCACCCTCTACCCCAACCTCTGCCAATTGCAATGTGTTCTCTGTATCTGTGAGTTAGATTTTGTTTTATTTTGTTTTTAGAGTCCACATATAAGTGAAGGCATATGACATTTATCGCTGTCTGACTTATTTCACTTAGCATAACGCCCTCACAATCTATCCATGTTGTCACCATGGTAAGATTTTATTTTCTATGGCTGAATAATATTTCACTGTATATGCAGGAGTGGGCAAAAATAGGTTTACAGTTGTGAGTATTTAAAACAGAGTTTATTCTTGTATTATTATTTATGAATTATTGCATTATTTATTTGTGTTACATCAGTAAACCTACATACATCACATTGTCTTTATCCATTCAGCTACCAATGAATTGCTTCCATGCCTTGGCTATTGTAAATAATGCCACAATGAACATGGGAGTGCAGATGTCTTTTCAAGTTAGTGTTTTCATGTCTTTCAAATAAATACTCAAAAGTGGAGGTGCTGAATCATATGGTAGTTTTATTTTTGAGGAACCTCCACACTGTTACCACAGTGGCTGCACCAAGTTACATTCCCACCGACAGAGCAGGGTGGTTCCCTTTTCTCCACATCCTCACCGACACTTGTTATTTCTTGACTTTTTGATAATAGCTGTTCTAAGATGTATGAGGTGATATCTCATTGTGGATTTGATGAATAGCGATGCTGAGCATATTTTCACTATATCTGTTGGCCATCTGTTTGTCTTTGGAAACATTTCTATTTAGATCCTCTGTCCACTTTTAAGTTAAATTGTTTGTTTGTTTAGTTGTGTGTGTGTGTGTGTTTTTGGCTGTTGGGTTGTATGAGTTCTCTGGATATTAACCCCTTATTAGATGAGGTCCCACTGTGTGAGGACCTCAGGGGGGAGGGCTGTGGATGGCAAGGAGGAGGATGAAGGACTTGGGGCAGGCCCCTGGAGGAGGCACAGCAGCCCAGGACTTTGCCTAAGAGTTCCTGCAGCCATGGAGCCTGGCTGCTGCAGGAGTGACTAGACACCCTGGGAAATGGATTGAGGAAGAAGACACTGGTCCCAGGCCCATCCTTCTGGAATTTTCTGGCGAAGGGCCAGGTAACCACTCAGCTACAGATGTCCTGGAGGATGGCATGCAGGTGCAGGAGTCACAGCTGGTGTTCACCCTGGGTGACGACCGCGATTGCCACCTCATCCAGACCTTGGATCCCTGCATCTGGCTCGCGGACCTGGGGACAACATTGCTGACTCCAAGTACCGCTATGACCCCCAGGACAGGTGCCCATACACACTGGCCCCTCCCACCCCACACGGCCCGGCCTGGGGTGACCCCGAGAACGACAGTGGATGAGCCTGACCTGGAGAGGCGTAAGGGAGCGGAGCCGGCGGCCCCGCCCATGGGAAGCAGGACTGTGGCAGTGCCCACTACCAGGGGGCTGACTCGGTGCTTTCTGCCAACTCGAGGACCTCACACCAAGGCCATCACCTCCAGCCCCAGTGTTCGCGACACTGCAGGCGGAACAACTCCTGCAGCTGAGGGTGACGTGTCTGAACAACCTGGGTTCTGGTTCTCACAGCTGCAGAGGGACCACGAGCGACCGCACTGCGCTGCGGCAGCCCTGCCAGCTCCGGCCGCGACGCACCCAGCCGCTCCGACAAGACGGCGCATGCAGGGCGGTCCGGCGGCCGAGACGCCCCGCCCAGCGGCCGCAGGGCCCAGGCTGCGTGGCGCCGGAGACCGCCAGGCAACCGACCCAGGGTCCGGGCAGGAGGGACTGCTGCAGCCCATGGGAATGGCTGTCTGGGGCCACCGTTTTTGCCTTGCGGGCCTGGCCGTTGTCCTCACTGCCGGGAGCTGACCACGTAGGTGCCTGCCATCTCCATCCCTGCGCCTGACCCCAACCCGGCCCCCTGACTCCCTCAGCTGCCGGTCCACTGCCCTCTCTGGCAGAGCCCCTTCCTCGGCTTTGGGGACAGCAAGCCAGGGCCTTATGCCTAGCCCAGAGGGAGGGGACCTCGTTCCTCCAGACCCAAGTCTCACCCCAAGAACTTCCCAGATCACCCCAAGCTAGTTTTAGTGCCTGACCCCACCAATGACCTGTGCCCTAAATGCTTCTAGACCTTCTCTGTTACTTCCTTGGCGTCTGCGACCTCATCCGGCAGGAACAGGGTCTTATTTGCTGCGTCTCCCTGTGCCCACTGCTAACACATGCTTACTCCAAAGTAAGCATTCAAGAAATATTTCTTGTTAAGTTGAAAGTGTTCACCTCCAGTAATTCATTAATGTACTATTGTTAGAAACTCACTATCGATTAGTTTTTTCAAGTGTTTTGCAATTAATGAAAGGTCATTTGTACCTCGGGATTGGAACAGGCCAAGCAGCAGCTGCCCCATGTTCTCCTGATGAGGGTTATGGAACCTCCACCATCGTGTGAGCCAGAGAAGGAACATGAGATCCACTTAGAATCAACCCATTTTCTGTGGACAACAATGCTGGAGGAAAATCAAGAAAATGTTAATACTAATGATGAAACTGAGGTTTGAATTTTGCAAAGATCTAGTTGACTCATTCACTCTTTTCTATTCATATTTGAGATAAAACTAATGAAGAAGCTAAGCCTTTTGGAATGTTGGAAAAATGGTGATGAGAAGTTTTAACAATTTCTCTGATCTCTATCCTGCAATATTATAACCATTTTCCATGCATGTGGTGGGTAAGCTCTTGATGTTGGCAGATCAGAGAATGTGGATATCCCCATTTTGCCAGCTCCTCAGTCAATTCAAGTTAAAAACAAACAAACAAACAAACAAAAAACATTATCATCAGGTTTTGTGGGTCAAAAATGTAGGTGGTTATCATATTTTTTACTTAAAAAAACAACAACAAAAAAACCTTAAAGTTTAGGTATTGCGCAGTTACAGAAGGCAAATAGTAATATTTTCCTGTATTCTTGTGAGCATGATGAAGCTTTTAGAAAGGTACATGACACTGAAACCAGTGGGGAAAGTTCAAGAGAGAACATTTGTGTCCTGTTGACTCCTCTTCTGGGCTCCTTGTCCTCCGTTGTCCCTTAGAACGACCTTGCTTCCCGGCCCGCAGCAGTCTGCGTCGTTTCCTCCTGTAGCGACTGTCAGACTCTCCGCAGCTATTCGTTGATGCGTGTGTCTTCCCCTCTTCTCGGGGCTCTTTGAGCATGGAGACTGATTCGGGTCACTCTGGCTGTCCTCAGTGTCCACCACGGCGCCGGACACAGGTTAGCATTCTCTGAAGTCTCACAGAAGAAAAGAACAGAAAAAAAAGTGGGGGGGTACAGAAAGGGTGGAGAGAGAGGGATGGAAAGAAAGGCAGAGAGCCCTTGTCGGTTTGGTTCAGCAGTTAGAGCATCAGCCTGTGGTCCAGAGAGACCCGGGTTCGGTTCCCGCTAAGGGCACGTATCACGGTTGCAGTTTGTCCCTGGCCCTGGTTGGGTTGTGTGGGTGGCAGCCACTGGATGTGTCCCTTTCACGTGGATGTTTCTCTCTCTCTCTTCCTTTCTCCCCCTCCTACTCTATCTGAACAAAAAAAAGGAAAAATGTCCTCAGGTGAGGATTAAAAAAAAAGAGAGAAAGGCAGAGAAAAGACAGAAATAAAGTAATATGAATTTAAGTCATTTTTCCATAAAGTCTCTTAAAGTATTTAAATCTCATTAACTCTAGAATGAAAAGTCCCATCTCTTATTCAGGGGTTGTTAATTAGCAGAGGACAGTGGGGAAACTGTATTTAGGGGGATGGAGTGGCTTCCCAGACGCTTTTAAGTCACATCAGATGGAATAATTGTTCAATACATCTTTTCATGTACTTCTCCCATACAGAGGGGTCTGCTGGGAGCCAAGAAAGCCAAAATCATTATCAGAGCCCTGTGAAATAATGTAAAGGGAGCAGGGAGACAGAAAAAGAAACCACCTAATTAAAACAAGATAGGGACATTAAAAAGCATTCAGACTGTAGGTGTATATTCTGTAAAAATCAATTTCCACTGCAATTCTTATAATTCATTCACAAGTAATTGGTTTATGTTCCTCCTCTGCTCCACTGTTGATGCTAATGAACACATAGGTGTCAGGTGCCTGGGAAAGGGAACAAATACATAAATAAACACATTTCAGCAGATGATAGCAAAAGGCATTTGCATGTAAGGCAATAATTTCTGAATTTCCAACCTAGAAATCTTTTAAAGTATATAGAAAGATTTTGAAGTTATGCTTTTTCGTCCGCCACAGACTCCTTAAAAATACATTCGTAAAGTATACCACACCAACCGGAATATTTGTTTCTACGTTCTCTTCTGTATAGATAATGAGTTAGGTAATCGCATTTTTTATTTTATATTTTTGTATTCAAGAAGGGAGGGGAGTTGTAATTAAACATTTCTAAATGACTCTATCTAGTGATACAGTTAAGGGAGTTTGGAGTGGGTTGTGGGCTGAAAAACATCAGCTCATTTCTCCAGACTATTTTTCAAAAAATGGAAAATATTGAGAGTCTATCAATCTTCCTAGATAAGCAGAGGTCCCATTGTTCTGACAGCCTGGAAAGCAGAGTCCAGTAGAATGTTCCTGCTCTGTGTTTCCTCTTGAGGCTAAGACATAGCTTGAGTTACAATTCAATTCAACAAGCATTCAGTCAGTGCCTGTAAATCTGAAACTGGGTGCCAGGCAGCAAGCGCCGCGCAGAGGTGCATGTGTAAGACTGCTTCCTCCTGCTAAGAAAGTACCTTTTCTTTGGGGAGACTCAGATTCATCAACAGCAAGCCCGTAATGTCAGGAAGAATAAAGTAAGTACTAGAATAGTGGTGAAAGCTATAAGCCCTGAGAAAGAGAGCAAGAATTAATTACGGTCACATTTATGGTGTCATTGCAGTGGCATTTAACTTAGCAGAGAGGATGAGTTGACATTTAACAGGAAAGATGGCTGCAAAGGGCATGCCACCATGGGGATGTTGTGTCTTCTTTACTTCATTCAGGTTTCCCCTCAAATGTCACCTCCTTGGAGAGCAGCACCTTGCTCTCAACTCCCCGATTCATATAGTGACCCTGGGGGCAAATCTTTCCGAAGGTATGTTCACACACTTGGTTATCTTTCTCAATGCAATTATAATAAATATATATTAACCAATTGTGATGAATTAGGGTATCTTTTGGAGAGAGGGGAGGGTGAAGGGATAACCACCTAAATAGATTAACAAATTAATTAATTTAAAATAGAAATGTGTGCCCTACCGGTGTGGCTCCGTGGTTGAGCATTGACCCATGCATGAAGAGGTCTCTGGTTTGATTCCCGGTCAGGGTACATGCCCAGCTTGTGGGCCCGATCCCCTGCGGGGGGCATGCAGGAGGTGGCCAATCAGTGTCTCTCATCGATGTTTCTATCCTCTCTTCCTAAAATCAATAAATAAAAAAATATTAAAAAAATAAATGTGTATTATAAATAAAATGTAATAGGGATGATATAATCACACATAAACTAATTATAATTTTAGAGAATTTAGGGCAAAGATTATTCCAAGAGTTGTATTAATATTCTTTTACTAGTCTTCCATGAAACAACATATATTCACATAACTTGGCAAGATATCATGTTTTACAACACATTTTAATATTCTCAGTTTTGCAAACTTTCTTATGGTGAATGGTCTAAGAGACAATGTAAATGAATTCAAAGTAAAAAATAAAGAAAAATAATATGAAGTCATTTAAATGAAAAGCAAAAAATATTTACTAAAACAAATAGAAACTTTGAAAACTTAAGAGTATTTAAAAAGTATCCTATAATCCTACCACTCAAATTACTTTCCCATGTAATTAAATCATTTTTAAAAAAATGCTTTTAAAATACATAACACTATAATACTTTGCTAAGGTATTAATGATTGAAACGAAGACTGTTCTTGGTTTTGCTATTATTAAAAATGCTGCAATAATCATATGTATTCATAAATAGTTTTTCAATATTCAGATTATTTTTTGAGGATGAGTTGGATAATGACTGGGGTAGTCATATTGTTGTATTCAAGAAGAGAGAGTAGTTTTCATTTAATCTTATTCCAAATTGTTTTGTGGAATATTTAAAGGGCTTGGGACTAGTGTGGGAGATTGGAAATGCTAGATCAGTGTGTGTTCAGTATTCTATATATCTTTTTTAAGTCATTACTCTGAGTGGTTCTTGCATTCAACCTTCTCAGAGTTTAGCATGATGCTTGGCATAAAACTAGATTTTTAATTGTGTTTATGGAACTGAGTCAGTGCTAATAAAAGCATATAAAATTCTATTATAAAAGATGATATGCTGCTCAAATGTAATTAAAATATTATTTCAATAAATATAATAAAGCACATTAAATACTCTGTTTAGCGGCACAATTTTCATGATGATGAATTAATTCATTCTATTATTTGTTTCTGAGCACACTTTAAATAAAAGGGGAATTCAACTAGTTCAGCTTAACTACATCTAAACAGTCACTTTCAGTTTGATGTGGGTCGTGGTCTGTGATCACATCATGCAGGAACATGAAATACAGATGTTCAGAGTGAGTCAGGCGAACTTGATTCTGGTTTTGAAATGTTCGCCGTATGTGCAGCAATGAGCAGAACCTGTTGTGGTGGCAGATTACCGGAAGATAGAGTTTCACTACTGAACAGGAAAGACAGAGGTAGCGTGTCCACGGTGCTCTGAAAAGAAAGTGTAACCCAAGAACTAAGATGAAAAATTGAAGATTAAGTGCATTAATTAGCAAAATGGATAATAACAAAATAGTAATCACAGTTAACATGTATCGGTTGCTTGCTATATGCTAGGCACTGTTCTAAGCAATATATATATTAACCCAGTGGTTGTCTCCATAGTGATTAAATCAGAATGTCTGGGGTTAGGGACCAAATAGCAATAATTTTTTTGAAGATCCTTCAGGTAATTTCAATCTGCAGGAAAATCTGGGAACTAGTCAATGACCCAGCAAGGTACATACCTTTGTGACTATTTCCATCTGCTTAGGGTGACACTGAGTCAGAGGGGTCAAGTAACTTGCCAACGTCAAAGAGCTAAAAAGTTGAGCTGTGAATCCAGGTGGTCTGATTCCAGAGCCCTTGATCTGACCACTCCGGTGCCTCCCCCAGTGTGTCAGAGCCTTTTCTAATGAATAGCCTTGATATTTATGAGTTTAAGAAAATTTTCAACGCATGTCTTTAAAATAATCATTTTAGGAAGTTATAACCTAGTCCTATGCATTTTGGTTCCTACCTCTATCTGTGGTGTTGGTCTTCCTGGGCAGTACCTACTTTATCATGCACATGGTTTTCAAAAGCGGCCTTCTCTCTGCCCCTTTCCTTAGCCCCCCTCTCAGATGCTGCCAGTTTGACGTGTCTTCGAGCCCACCCAAGCCCACACACGTGGTGTACTTGTGAAAGAGGGAGGGGTCAGTGGCAAAGCAAAGCAGGGCAAGCCGAGAGGTCCTTCCCGTTCTGAGGCCCCATCCACAGTGTCCAGGTTTTCACAGCTAGATGTCAACTACTAAGACTTCTTCTGTTCAGCCCCTACTCAGGAGTCTACCTCCTCGTGTGTCTTTCTAGCTTCATCTTAAACCTAAAGTTATGAAATATTATGTAACTTCGTGGTTTTTTCTTTAGTTTTGCCACTCTTACTATATGACTTTTGGCAAGAGTAAGCCGATCATCTCTTAAACTCATGTACTGTGTGCCACTGTAAATGTACTTGGAGATCTGTTGGGTAAATGTTCAGTTCTGTAGCACCTTATTGCTCTAAACTTAAGTTCAACATGTACTTCCTTCGTGGGCTGCTCACTGGTTTCCAGACCTTCCACCACAACCACTGGTCTCTAAGTCCATTGTGAACTTGGTATCCTGTCTGCAATGGGCAATCATGGTCCTCCTTATCCTGCCCCAAGCAATTACCCTTTAGTTATACCTCGTGTGGGGGGTAGACCTCCTCACTCCATCCCCAGAGCAGCTGTTTATCCAGTATGGGAGCACATTTAATAAGCGGGGCATTGGGCCTGAGGAGTCACACAGATGTGAGACCCTCCTCTGGAGCATGTTTTATTCATGGCTGCTTTTATTTTTGAGATGTAGTCACAACCATGGCCCAGGTATTTGTACAATAACTGAAATTTCTCTCCAGCAAAACTGTGCTCAGTGCAGTGAAATCACACGAGCCCACCAAAAGCTGCCATTTCTAACCAGGCCACCCAGCTCTCCTCGTCTCAAGTTCAGGTGTCCATCACCCAGGCTGCACCCGAGACCAGCGAGGAGAATGGCGGTTGGAATTTACATAGCAACGGGTAGCTCCCAACCACCACGAATAAACCTTGCAGTTGACTCTTTATCTGTCAAAAAAGGAAGTCTGTTTTGTCATTATGAAACCCAACCAGGGAGAAAGAAACGGATCGTTCTTGCTTCAATAAATTGCTTCCGAAAGACCTGCACAGGCCCACTACTAGAAAAGATTGTATCTGTGTCCCAACAGCCACAGCTGTTTTTTTCTTAAAATGGTAAATTCAAGGGCAGGCTCTCCCTTCCCACCAACTTCCCCACATTTAATTAGGAAAAAAAAAATATGACCCAAACAAAGAAAAAGCTCATGTAGCAAAGGGGGAGAGAACTAACAGGGGCAGATTCCTCAGAGGACAATAAGGAGGAAGCACTGTCCCTTTGGTTGCCTGGGCTGCTGGGCTGGGGTAGGACAGGGCAGCTGAGGATGACAGGTGTCCAGGGCTCATGCACACAACACTGAGGGACTTGGCAGAGGGCGAGAAAGGAGGAGAGTTCCTGAGGCCCAGCCTTGGTCAGCCCCAGCACACACACGGCGTTTGCTCTTCTGGGGTCAGACCACGCAGGACCCAATGAGTCCAGCTGAAGCCCAACCCCCAAGAAGTCTGGAGGGGGAGGCGGTGGTCTGCGTGGATGCACACAGCCACAATCCAAGGGAAGCTTCAGATTCAGCACCCACCCTAAGTGCTGCTGATGCCGAGGCCCCTTCTAGGGCTGGCCCCCTGCAAGGACCCACCATGGCAAGAAGGATGTGCCGGAGGCTGGGCCCAGGCGGGGATGGACCACTTTCAAGTCATTTCAATGAGGCCCAGATCCACAGAACTCAAAACAATCCTTTGACATTGGACTCTCTCTATTGCACATTTTCGGACCTCGTCCTGATATTAATACAGTAGACTTTGAACATTTAAAGTGGGTATGCTCTAAAAAATGAAGAAATGATTAAGTGGCTATGTTCTAGGCTTTCAAGAGGTTCTTGAACAATATTATATTTTCTCCAGAACATACAGAGCACCTCCGATATTAAAGTGACTGCCTCAGACTCATCAGGGAATGGAGTGATAACAAGTAGAAAAACAGCAAAATCTTATTGCTGAGCGTCCCACCTAACAGTTACATGTTAAGTGACTTTCCTGTATGAAGGAAGGTACTGTTCAAGTGTGCCTCAGGATTTATAGATGGCTACATGTCACTGACCTTCAGGGTCATTCCAAAATGTGACCTCCGTGAGTGTCAAAGACCTATAATGAAATAATAGCTCTTGGGAATGATGTCATTGCCGAAATAAGAAACTAATGACTTCTAAAACACAGCCCCATCCTGTGAATTGAGGACCTCTAGTGGTCACATTAGTAATAACTCCTTTTGAACAATCAGCATCTAGAGAATATCTCAAGACACTATTTTTCAGATGCATGTATATGCTGTGATACATAAAATATTATTCACTTAAAGCGATGAAATAATACAATGCCACCGTTATTGTAACTATTCTTTTCAATTAAATAAAGATGTCCAAAGTACTACCACCAATTGGAGAGAGCCAGATGTTTCGACGTTACTCAAAAACGTCGTAACCCCAGCTTTAGATAATCATCACTAGGGCAGCCACTCTCTCTTTGATTAAGCATCACCTAGAATAGTTGGGTCTACTCAGAATAACAGGCATGTTCTATAGAACTCAACCGATAACAGAACTGTATTAATTATAAATATCACACATTTATTGCAAGAAGTTTAGGAAAAAAGCATTGACCTGCAAAGGAGGTTTGCAGCTTTGACCAAGTACCTAGTGGTACAGTCACAGCAAGTGCACTAAATGATCAAACTGGCACTTTTCTTCACATTGGAACTCTGGCTCTCACTGGCTATCGGAGGAAACTGCGAAATGCAAAGCCATATGGGAAGCGTGGCCTGTTACACCAAATTTTTAATTCATTGTTTAAAAAACTCACACACACACAGTGATGCCAGCTGTGCGTGTGTGTGTGTGTGTGTACTCTTTTATCACTCTGAATCAAGTATCACCACTACCTTCATTGAAATATACTCTTAAATTGCCTGATTTCCAGTGTTAGTAGTCTCCTGGGGCGGTCAGGCAAATAAAATGTCTTTAATAGAAAGAAGGTGATCTAGAATTAATAAGACAATTTCTTTTTTTCCCTTATAGTTTCCCCCCTACGCCTAAAATCCTATCAGATATCACTTAACATGTCAGGAGGCGAGGGCAAGATTTTTCAGAAAATTGTGGCGTCGACGGCAATGTCCCTGGATGCAGATTCTCACTTTTGGTATCAGGACAATCGGTAGGAAAGACAGCGGTGACCTTAACTCCAGTGAGGTAAAACCAGATGAAGAATGTTCGAATCAGTATGTTCGTAATGACAGACACCCACACATACATACTCGAAAGGCGCAAAAATAATTTACTCTTCAATCTCAGATACACAAATATACTTAAGAAAGAGAAGTTTTATTAGGGCAATTTCACTTTATTTTTCCATACAGCAAAGTCAACTACTGCGGTAATAATAAAATAAGCATAAAACAAATTGCAGCCCAAGACAAAAATACATAATTTTAAGCAACTACAAGCAGAAAGTAAGTTGTGATTACATAAGAGTAAAACCTAGCACTTCTGTCCTGTCAGCAGATGAAAGTGGTTGCTGATAAGTGCAACACTGTAACCAGCCGGAGTGAGGGTTGGCTACACTAATTCATTAAACAAGTGCCCATGATCACATTTGCTTTTTTTGAGTGCTTCTGAGTTGAAAATTAGAACCGTGAAATTTGAACTGTGTTTTCTTTTCACCTGCTGAAAGAACAGTCTCCTACGGCAATTAAAAAACAATCACATAACAACTATAGCTACCGTGTGCTGTTTGGTTTGCCTGTTTATGGTTTCAATTTTGTGAAAGTCAATACTTGTTTTGAAGATTTGTGTGTGTATGTGTGTGAACAATAAACCACTGAAATTGGCAGAAACTGATTTGAATATATGTCCTTAGTATAGTTCTCTCTCCTTGTTGTTGTTGTTGTTGTTGAAGTTTTAAACATGCAGTAGTTTTGAGAAATGTAAGGTATATTTGATCCATGATTTCACCTTAATGGTTGAAGTACCTGCTATTTTTGGTAATGGTCTTCAGGCAGATTTGGCCCAATGGAGTTTTTGTCAGTCATGAGATCTCGGAAGGATGGCATATCTTTCCAGCTGAAAAAATCCTGGCAAACTACAAGCTGTCCACAAAAAGCAAAGCAACATGTTTGAAGGGGTACGGAGTGCTAACTCGGTGCCACTTTTGCAAGCAATTTTGCTCAGTCTGTCATTTTATTAGCCTTAACAAAACTCCTTGTAATTATAGACGTTTTTATTCAAAATAAGATCTTACTATTATACAGGTTTCTCTCTTTTGACTATATACAGAAGTGCAAAAAGTCAACCTTCTCTCTGGACGTCCCAACATGCTAAATTGCAGCATAATCAACCCTCAAGAGTTTGCACACACGCTAGAATTCTCATTACGTAAACTTTGAGTATTTGGATTATCAACAAAAAGTCCCTTGTTCTATTTATTGATTATGCAGCTTATTTATAACAAGGCCTGATATTCAGGGATTTCAAAAATATTAAACAATACTTTAACATTTGAAATGGATACAGTAGAAAATAAATTTTATTCTAATATCTAGGATCTAAATCTTCTTATAATAACTAATTACAAACAAAATAAATCATCAAAATATTACTCAATTGTCTGCCAGGATTGTTGCGATAGCAACAACTTAACTTCTTACTTAGCAATGATTATATATTTATAAGATATCCATATAAAAGATCTTTGTTCTTTTAATGAAAACTAGACAAGAACTAACAATGACTGACATTCTTACACTTTAATATTAAATCAGTAAAATATAAATCATTTAGTTAACAATAATACGAATATTCATATGATACTACATGTAATTCAAAACTGAGTATGTTATGAAGGAAAAACTACTTTAATTGTTTTTTTTTAATATTTTGAAAAATTCATCGGTAAAATCTAATAAAACAATAGTCTATAAACTGAAATGGTATTCAATTGTTAATACAAAATGAAATCTAATAAGTGTAGGAAATGAAAAACTACATTTTAACAAGAAAAATAAGTAATATTCTATAATGTAACTAACTACAATAACATGTGAAGTCACCATCACTCTCTTAACACGATTGAAATTACATTGGTATGGGTTCCAACCCGTAATGTAATAATCTAAGGCTTTAATAGATGTACAGTACAATCAGTAAAATCAACACATCAGTCTTATATTAGAAAGCATCTCTCTCAAGCATAAAAACTCGCAGTAAACTTGGAAGTATGGAAAGTTCTAGAACTGAACTTTCACTTCTCCCATTCCATACTCTAGCTACCAGTGACCTGGCCCCTAGTTCAGCGGTTTGCAGAACTGCTGAACAGAGCGAAAACACCCTTTACTAGCTGCAACACCCAAACCACAGAAAGGGAATTCCTTTGGATGAATCCATTCTTAAAAACTGAACGCACATCTATTTTTTTTTTTTTAATTTTGTAAAAGGCTTTCTAAGGCTATAAGCAGTTAATCTGAACAAAACAAAACAAAATCACATATAAAATTCACCCATGTACGTAGCCCACCCAATTGCTAGGTAAGTGAACATCTCCCATTTTCATATTTTGGTTTATCATGCATCTGAAGACAGTGCTGCTTTCTTCTTTGTTTAGAGTCACTATTTTCAACGTGACTGTGATGAAGCATTTAAGCAAATGTGGAACCATTTTTGCAAAGCATTTATAGTCGTTTGACTTTGACAGAGCTATAAATAGAAGCAAAATAATTTCCTCAAACATTTCTTTTTTGTTATCGTGTCTCAGAAATGGCATATCCCTTTTGAATAACTTGTTATACAGTATAGTATGCATAAATATTACACTACAATGCATTAAAATAATTTTATATATATATATCTCTATTATATATCTCTCCAGTATGTGTGAGTTTATCTGTATCGAGAGAGTTGTGTTGTGCTGTCTATTGTTACTGTGGTTAAATTGGCCATTTCTGAGACAGCTTTGGTTTCCAAAAAAAGAAGGAAAAAAAAAAAAAAGAATAAGAATGGTGCCCTTTGACTGATTAGTAATAGCAAATAAGCAACAAAATGTGGCTCTGAAAATAATAACACTGAAGAAATAATACTCTAATTTGATGTACAGTCTATGGCACTTCATGAGAATCCTTAACAACATGGTACTTAAAGCCATGATGTGCTTTAAAAGATACACAGTTGTGGTTTTGCTTGGCACATTCATCTCTGTCAGATCCCTCCCTCACCACACCTTACAATCTATTACATTAAAAATATTACTCTTAAACAAAAATGACTGTGCATGCATGCTCTCGTCTATAATGGCAATTTTAAATACAAGGTGCACCTTTGTTATTTGTAAACCTTGAAAGAAATAAACTTATTTTTTTAAAAAAATTATATCTTGGTCTACAGACGTACCAATACATAATAGAATCATGGTTACACCATAGTCTGTCTTTTCAAGATGGCATGAATAGATAGGAAACTAATCAGGTATGCACGTGTGAATGCATAACTCTGTGCTAGAAAAGAAAGACGATGTTGTTCTTCTAGACAGGTATGTCACCTCAGCACAAATATCAATTAAATGTACAAAGTGTATAGGCAACAGTGTGCAGTGGATTTCCGTGTTGTCTTCTCTTCTGGTTAACATGCAATATGTGGATGTCTTGTGGCTGAGGGGTTTTTGTGTGGGTTGCTTGACAGTATATACAGTATGGCTAATGATCTCGTCCTTTACTCTAACCAAGCACACTGTCCTTTCCGCTGTGGTATGATCTGGAAGGGAAAAGAGAGAGTCTTTGTTACAACAGACAACGTCTCAAAGCAGTTTCCAATATCTACTTAACAGGAAATTTTCATTTGTTGATTTCAAGTGTGAACACAGACACATTCAATGTCTATCTTCACATAAAAACAAAAGAACAAGTACACATGGATCTAAATTTGTTTATCCCCTGTATGAGAATAAAATGGCATGCACAGTTTAATAAAACTGTAGACTCTGCTCAAATACTAAGCAGAGAGTGTAAAACGAATTTGCAGAATCAAGAGGCATAACATAGCCGAGCTCTTTGTTAGCACTGTCGTTGTCGGGCTGAATTTAAATTCACTTTACTCCTCTTTTAAAGTTAATAGGTTTCAAGAGTAATGGTTTTGCTTACAAAATTAAGATCCATGCAACAAGCCCTATTGAACACGGTGCACTATACAGATGGTCCCTGACTTAGGGTGGCTCGACTTAATACTTCTTTGGCTTTGCGATGGTGCAGAAACGCTAAGTGCGTAGTGGAAACCAGCCACGCCACGCTATGATGTCCGGTAGGTGAAGTGTACTAAATGCTTTTCAACTTTCGATGCTTTCAACTTATAACGGGCTTATGAGGACCAAACCTCATCTTACGTCGAGGAGCATCTGCATGTGGGTGCTTGATTAGCACAGTAAGTGTTTAGGGGGGAACAGAATAATATTTTAACTGTTCTGGGTAATTTAAAGTTTGGGGCAATTTTTTCCTAAAGCTAAGAAAAATAAATATTATTCCTTATGCGCCTAATGAATTAAGGTTAAACAGATGTCACACTGTACCTGCAAGTATTTCTGGTTTTTACATGAAATTTGTTCTCATCAGAGAATCTTTACACATTAAAAGTATACTTTAGAACACAGCCTTGGGAAGGAAAGACATCACCATTTTGCTGCACTCAAAACCAGTTTAAATATTGCAACTCATGAAAATGCCCAATCGTTTGTTATATAAACAGACTGTTAAGAGACTAAGCTTCAACACAGACAAATCCACCTGTCCGCTACCCGCTGGACTTATGGCCATTGGATATCGTATTTTTCAACCTGGATTAGTGCTAAGAAATAGAACACAGTTACATATATATGTGCCAAGCATACCTAATTGACTAGAAAAGCTTGAAACAGGTTTTGTATCATGTCAAAAGAACTCTTCTTTCAAACCTACATCCTACTAAGTAATGTGCTTATTCAAAACTGTGGCTATTGTTCAGAAAAGTAAGACTTATTATCCGAACTGCATAGAGACAGCTTATGAACGAGATGAACATCATTTTCAGTCATTTAATTCATAACTGAAGCATGTCTTTGGTAGTACTTCCCAGCATCTCTCGTTTCTTTCCTGAATGGCTTTCAAATATTTTCTCCCCTTTCCTGCACGGGCTCAACCTCTGTCCAGCCCTCATGTCACTGTCGTCCCTGGGCCGCTGACCGAGTTCTCTGCCTCCACCTCCTGACTCCGCACACCGGCCCTTCTCCTGCAAGTCCCACCCTCCTCCTCCTCTCTGGAACGACCTCCTTTGTCCAAGCTCACTCACTTTCTAACTCTGTTGGGAGAGTTCCAAGGAAAATGTATGCAGACCTCTCCTATCTAATAGAGTGTGCTGAAATTCCAACTTGATCTCTTTGCCGACCTGCCTCTCTCTCACTGGCATGGTAACTAGCATACAGTAGCACCATTAAGTGATTTGTAAATGTGTTAATGAAGAGAAATGAACGAACGAAAGCAACGGAGACGCAGTTTTAAATATTCTGGCTCTTTCTAACTATAAAAATAATTACGTAATATACTTCTGGAGCACGTATGAAACCTTGGATGCACGCAGACTGAAAGAAACACATCCTCTGAGCATGAAAAATGACCACCTGTGCAAGTGTCTAAGTCGATGTGTCTGAAGGCAAACCACAGGGTTCAAACCATGTTTGAGCAATGGCAATATTTTCAGAAATTATATGCTCCTCCAAGGTGACTATTTCAAAGTACCCCGCGTTCATTTGGCTATGTAGATATGTGTATGCATACATGTGAATGTGTGTATATAATTTATTTAAAGTCAGACTCATTCCATGCTAATTAATGACCCTGTGTGGTGAAGCATGTTGTCATTTAAGATTTTTACCAAAAACTTTTTTTAAAAAATTAATGAGGCTCTACAACAGAGGGGTCAGGAAACTACTGTCTATGAGCCAAATCCAGCCTGCTGCCTATTTTGCAAATAAAGTTTTATTGGAACACAGCCACACCCTTTCGCTTCCATATTGTTTCTGGCAGAGTTGAGTAGCTGTGACAGAAAACACACGGCCAGAAATATTTATTATACAGTCTTTTAAGAAAACTGTTTGCCACCCCCTGGTCTACGCCTTCTATTTAAATTTAAGTCCTATTTTTTCTTCATGCTTGGGTTTATTTCTAATATTTAAAAAAGGCAATGTTTATTTTCCCTAAGTATTATGTATATTTAAGTGATATTAACATATTTATTACAAATGTGGTTTATAAAATTCCTCACAATCCACCTAAGATAAAAATATGAAAATATTTTTCTGAAGTTTTGCAAAAAATTTCTTAAATGCATTACACAGTTATTATCTTAAAAAAAACCACCACCACAAATATACATTATATATTACATAATAAACTTACTGTTTAGTGATGAAAGTTCTACATCTGGGTAACATACTTGTGGCTAGTCAGATGTTCGGCAGATATTATGGGTATCTAGCAAATAAAAAATTATTTAATGAATGACCCATGCAAGCAAGCCAACGACCAAGAGATGAAAACATTTCCATATTAAATTTTTTTTTAAGAAAAGTGAAATTCAGCTGTGAGGTGATAGTCCTTATCTGGTCAACATAACAGTAAGTTAATATAAACAAAATGCCAAAGTAGCAACTAATTTTTTAAATCTCTGTTAAACACCATTCTATAAATGTTATCGGATTTTAAGAAGTAAGAAAAGTAAAACTATCAAAAATTCATGCAGAGCGGTAATCGAAAGAAGCCCTCTTTGTTGGCCTACACACACGCCCACCCCTGTGGTTCGGTTATTCCGTAATCCAAACAGCAAAGTAGAAAATGTCTTGCTTACTTTTGTGCAACCAATTCCTAACTTTTTTTTGTTGCTGTTCAACTTATGGTGTCTAACTTTTATTTTTCCAATTTAAAATACCAGGTCAGAATTAAAAGGAGTATTTCAAAAGAAATGGATAAGAACATAAATTTACATCACAACCGATTTCTGAATCCTGATTGCACATTATAATTATTATTATTTATTTTTTGGTATTTTAGATGGGCAAGAGAATTTAAAAACTTGAGAGAAAAGACAATAAGAAACCAATACAGAAGTGACTTATTTCAATAGTCCCCAAAGAAGCCAAGAACTTCCAATATGTCACATGAGTCTCCTCCAACCCAGAATCGTGGCTGCTAACCTCAGAGAGGCCACGTGACAGATTAAGACTGTCAGGGGACAGGAAGCACGGCTTCTCACACTCTGTCTGATCCGTTTCCTACTGTGTCATCTTGACCAAAGCACTTCACTACCGCCTGCCTCAGTTTCTGCATCTAAAACATGGCACTCATCCCACTTCAGCAAGGTTGGTGGGAGAACAGTGAAGTCACATACATGAAGGCATTTTTGTTGTTGTTTCAATTTAGATGTCCTAGACTAGTTCAACATATTACAATCCACCGTTTGGAGTGTAAATTAATATGTCTCTATTTTATTTCCATTTCTCAGCTGACATCTTTACACAATTTTACAGCATTGGCAAATGGCACGAAAATGTGCTCCAAGCATAATGAAGCTTCTCATACCATTTTTCCTGCTGCTGCAGGACAGGATGTTGCACCCAACAGTGTAGAAGCATCAAGGATGGGGCTGTCGAAACATACCAAGGACCTTCAACACCAATCGATGCAGATGAAGGGCCAGCTATAAACTTCTGCATGCATGCAGGCTGCATTTTGTGGCATCAGCTATTTCCAGCATCGCTAATGTACTGCAGGCATATACATATGTATGTATATGTAGATATAATATATGTGTGTATATATATATCCATTCCCTTTTCTTTCTTTTGGTTGTAAAACAGTATGAAGATCCAAGATTATGCATGAAATGGTCACAGCACAATGCAAAAAGTAAAGTGTCCCCTACAACCCAGGTGGCCAAGGGCATGTTGAAATTTGCTTTGCTATAGTTCTGCTTACACCAGCAATTCTATAGTCATACATGGTACACACAGGAGAATTAGGCATCATTGATTCACACCATAAATGGATTGCATTACATCCATTAAGAAATTTCTGCCGTAGATTACTTACTAATGTGCTACATATGCAGAATCTAGCATTCTTGTAAATGAGTCTGATGTGTGAACATAAATCCAGGGCTATCTTGACAAGCTTCAGAAAAACTAATGAATGATCTTTGCCAAGAAATGTTTAAAGCTTGTATGAATCTTTAAGATACATCCATTTTGGTACACTGCTTGCGAAAGTTTTTAATGGCTATACTAATAGCTTAGAGTTGTTCTTCAACAGTACACAGTGTGTGGTAGAAACAAGGTGGCCATTGCTCAGAGCAGCAACTAGAAATTCAAATGGTACTTAATTGGTCTTCTCTTCCCAAAGGGGCAACATGTTGATTCCTGCCTGATACGGGTTCTTTTGAGATTCACTTGGCTGCATCTAATCTTAGTGTGTGGGTTATGTAAAATTTTATTTGGCTCTAAATTTGTTCATATCCTATTACCCCTACCGAACTTGGCTTTCATAACAAATATATCTGTGTATTCAAGCCAAAATCTACTTTATATATATTTGATTTTTTAATCCAACCAGTATTTTTTAGAACATAGTTTTTAATAGGATCAGAAAATACTCATTGAGAATTCATGTCGATTTTTAAATTTTGAATATTTCAATAATCATTTTCTTTTAAATAGGCATTTTCGTACATCATAACATTTGAATTTCTGGAACAGATCCCTTTTACTTAAAAGTAACCTGTGTAATCGTTACTCTATAAACTTGTATGAAGCACAGAATTTATGTCTTTCTTCCTTCATAACTCCCCAACATTTGTGCTGGGCAATTATAGAAATGAATTTTATATTTTCACTTAAAGCACTAAGAATCAAAACTTGAACATGAATTTAATCTACTTTGGATATGCAATCTGCTTATCAAACCAAACTACAACAAATTCATAACAAACTCTATTTACAAGAGTGGTCATTTGTGGCATATGTCACACATTTAAATATTGTGCTTTTCATTCAGAATTTAGGCGAGAACTAAGAAAATTGTACATACCAGATATTTATCATTTAAAAAAACTAAAAATTATGTACATTTTTTGATGGGTCAAAATACCTGCATGATTGGTTGAGACCAAGTGAGAATTGCTTGTGTAAATATCATTTTAGTAGCTTTAGAAATGGAGCTGCGACAACTTCGGAGCACTTATCAACGGCAACAAAGCATTCTGCTGCTCGTCACAGAGGATGTGTAGGCCAACAAGAGGAGTCTTTGAAACCCCATGCTCGTAAAGCACCCACCCAGCCCTCACGTACACTCGACCCCGCCGACCTCACGGGGATCCACGTGCGTCAGGGCTGTTGCACTGAGCCCTACCAGAGTTGGTTTTTAAGAAACAAAGCTGTAAATTAGCAAACCTGGTTGGCTGTGGCTGTTGCAGCGAAGGGAACACTTGTGGCAGATGTTGTTGCTGCGGACACAGTGGCTGGCGTAGCACCGTGCACCATGGGAACTTTCGGAGGGAAAATCATATAAGCAAACATACAGAAGAGTGTAGCAATATGGAAACCATGGCAACATGGAGGAGATAATTGGGCATGGCATTTATCACAGCAGTAAGCCATGTGACGGGACATCATCACCAGCGAGTGACATGCAATCACAGCGCAAAGCAGGACAACATTCCAAGGAGAGAAGGGGTAGGGGGATGAAAGAGAAAAAAAAAGGGGAAAAAAAAGCTTGTTACCATCAAATCAAGAAAATTGACACAAACAGGCTAAATTTGCTAAGTCAAAAACAAGGATTTTATATAGTGTTCATAGTCAGACATTAGAAATCTAAGTCAAAGTACAGGTATTTACTTCATATATATAGTTAACAGTTTGAATGAAAGTAATTTTTCTTATTTACTATTATAAAAATATACAATATATTACTTTTATGAGATAGATTTTTTTTTTTTTTACACACTAGAACTCATAGTCCAATCAAAATCCACCAAAGGTGACTAAAGGAAAGTTGTGTGTAAAGAAAACGTTTATGTGAGTCCATGTCAATTAAATAGGAAATGACATTTAATTGACAGGTGTTAGTAAAAGGGAAATGGACTTGCCCAATAGATACAAGTTAAACTTAGCAGTGGATTTTGAGGGGCTGTGAGGTGCACCATAGGTTTAAGATAATCAAGAAACAAAGCTGGCACCTACCAACACTTGTAGCGGGTGTCATGCACAATATTGAGCCTGCCCATCATGCATTGCAACAGGAAGGTGGATTTGAAAGGGAAAAGAATTAAAACATCCCATCACACGTGTAATTAGGAAATTCATTTGAACAAAGAAGAAAAATTGTTATTATGGGAACAGTGGCATGTAATTGTCAGCACAATCAAATCATACAATAGCACAGTGATCAATTAGAACTAGTCTCGAGTGAAGAATAAAAGCCAGTTCAACTGTGTGCTGGTACACTTTGTTTCTCCTAAGTGCTGCCTAGAAATACAAGTATTTTGGAAAAGGGTTTTAACTGCTTAGTTCTTTTAAAAATAATCCTGTAATCTGGTTTGTTTTACCCTGGTTACTAGCCATCTTGCAGCTTTGCCATTTCTGACTTTAACATATAAACACATTAACTTTTTAAAAAAATATTGAGCACATGTTAAATAATCAAAATTATTATTTATTATTAAAATGCTAAATAGTTCAATGCACCAAACTGACTTAACAATGTAATGAAACCAAAACATTCATTTTCGTTCCCTTGGCTTTGTTTTCCTGTTCACGGTAGCAGCAGCCACACAGACATGGAAGAGGCTGTGATCACCCACAGGGAATTTTACTTGGAGGGATACCAAGCCCTAAATTATGCGTAAAGAGAAAGTGAAACTTCCACACTGCTTGAGCTTGAATTTAAATGTAGGAAGAATATTTTGAGGGGATATACTTGGTATCCGGGAAAACAGACTAGTTTTCTTTGCTGGTTTAGACTCTAAGGACTTCCTGGTATAGCAAATATTCTACTAAATTTCACACACACAAAATTGGTAATCAGACTTCAGTAAAAACCCTGAATGGGAGATAATGAAGATACATACATTACATATGCGGTATTACCACTGACGTTCACAACTGTTTGACCACGATGTTAAATCAGTATTACATAGTATTCCCTTTTCTCTGTGACACATAAACATTGAAAAAGCTAATGTATTTGACCAAGTACAGGGCACTTTCCCACATACAGAACCACTGTTCTCTCTACGAGATTATTTGAGACTTCTAGATTTTAAAAATTCCAATGATTCTGTGCTTCTCTCTAAAGCTTGGCACATCCTATTTACATACTAGCAGCATCTGGGATGAACACTTGTGAGAAAAATATCTGCCAATTGAGTCTTGTTAGAGATAGCACTGCAAAACAAAGCTGCCATTGACAACCACGGATTACTCAACCGGCATCCCTAGGACAGCTGCAAAGAGTCTGTTATCACCATTAGACTGTGGGCACAACGATCAGTGGTTAAACTCGGTAAGCGAGCTAAGGAGGCACCCTCTCAGGTGGAGTACTGTTACAGCGGTAGGCATCATTTAAGCCACTTGAAAAGCTCTGTCATTTGCTACAACTACTGGGTCAAAGACTCATGAAAGACAACACAAACAAACCAGCAAAGACAAAGACGTCAATTTGAGAAAGTAGGAGCAAGCAAAATTTAATAGTAATATGGGGTCGAGAACCTACGAAATCGCTATCCTCTAATGGGAGGGCCAGAGGATGAGATGAGTGGAAAAGAATAACGTGGCATTTCAGGAATATTACAGCCAGTTTCCACATCGTACAGGTTATATGCTTTAAATGTATTATTTATTATTACGCTGCAATTTGCCTATTATATTTCATCCCATGCATAATTAAGCCTGCACATGCTGAAAATGAGTTAACCTTACCCCATCTCTCTAAAATCCTGAAGCTTTTATTATTTGAATGTTAGTGTGAGCTATCGTCCTCATTACCATTATAACCAGTGCACACAGTTTTGAGAGGGATTTGCAGCAAATAAACATAAGGCAGCAATGACAATACTAGCTAGGGTACGTAACTGACACATATGGAGACAGAATGCTGTAGGACCCACTTACCAAAAACAAAACCACTTTTGAAATGACCGTCATATCCATCTTAATATCAATAGGTTTGAACTTTACTAATAACGATGCACAAATAGCCAATTGAATTTTTTTTCCTCAATTTTCAGAAGGCCAAATTTAAGCGAGTGTATTCGTCAATTTCAAATGTCCCCTATGAAGATATTTGCATAGCAGAATGGTGTATTTCTGAGGAATGCATTACTTTAATTACACGGCTTTTAAATTTAAAGTTTCTAATCAATCTCTATGAAGGAAAAACTAGGAAAACAATTTTACAAGTGAGATGTATAGAGAGTTAAAAATATTTCAAAGAGAAGGGAAAGAAATAGAAGAGAGAAAAAGAGTTATAATGGAGATTGGTTTGGAGGTTCAATTTAGATGTGATAATTCTAGCTTATCTAGGTGTATTTTGGTAAGAAATATAAAGCTGATTTAAGGTCTTCTAAAAATAATTTTTATCATCCAGGACTAAAAGTTCATAATCAATCGACTTATCTCAAAATTAATATCCAAAAAGCCACAATGTCATATAATTTATTCCTGTTCCTATTCAATCTGTTGAATGCTACTCTGTTGCACTATTAAATTCAAGAAATAACAAATAAAACTTAGTGCTTACTTTGTTTCTGTCATTATTCTAAACTCTTAGGTCTCCTGTAAAACTGCTTGAAGAGAATGTGCTATCATATTATGTTTAAATCCCATTTAAAGATAACCTTACACAATAATTGACATTATTATCTTCATTTTACAGACGGGAAAACAAAAATGTATGGTGAGATCATACTTTGTGGCAGAGCTGAATTTAAACTTCTAAGCCTGGTTTACAATTGCTATGCTAAGTTTCAAGTAAACTTATAACAAGTCATTACTTATAACAAAAGTGAAAAGCTGAAAACCTTTGTTTTATTTTCTTTCTTTAAAAAGAACCCTGAGCCACTGAGTCTCCCCTTCTACCCCATCCCACCCCTGAGAAAGTGTCCTGGCTTTTTGTTTCCCTATTTCTGGTAGAGTTGCAATGCAACCCAAAGCTTAAGTTGCTTGAAGCAAACTTATTTTTAGATCTTTTATAAATAAGTCTACATTGATGGAGGGTGATATGCTTAGGGAAGAGAACAGAGGTGGGCTTCTGAGTATGGCAGGTAGGCAACAATGGTTAGGGAGAGCAGAAGAAAAGTTTCTCAGGACTCTGCAGGGTCTGAGAGCAGTTAGGCATGTAGTCTGTTCCTTTACAATAGCTCAGTAGGTGGCGCTTTCAAGGGAATGGAATGGGTTGCATGTGAGTCTGGGGTGCTGAGCTAAGGATGCTTGGACATAAGGCAAACACAGATCCCTGGAGTACCTGCCTTCAATAAATCTTGTAAGTATGGACAATGATTACATTAGCTGTGACCAGTGGTGACTGGAAGAGAAAAGAATAGGTCCCCTGAGCCCACGGGAATGCACAGGACCTCTCTTTGAGGGTGGGATGGGAGGGAGGAGGGGACGTGTGGACAGGGTCCTAGAATCTCAAGAACACCTAATATTTCTATCCAACACAATGAGATTAGCATTTAGAGTGGGATGTGATATAAATTAGGATAAGAACTGGATATAATAGGATATAATAAGTAAAAGTGGTATTTCTTATACACTCTACTTTTGGGGGTGAAACTTGTAACTACAATATAAGTAGACCATGGATTATGCACAATCTGTGCAAACACTAAGTTTAGTCTTGAAGAGTGAAGGTAAAAAAGAAATAGTATAACCTAAAAGTTAAAAAAAATCTTCAATGTGAACTTAATGTATCTCTAAATGCAATGGAGTCAGGTGATCAGTAAGGGCTAGTTCTATAATTCCATCCTCCTAGATTCTTTTTTAGGTCTTTATGTAAAGAGCTCACACATACTGAGAGACTGTCCCAAGTTCACCTGATCCGAGTTCAAGTTCTATCTAAACCTTACAAGCCGTGTAATTTGGGGCAAATCACTAGACCTCTCTGGGCCCAAATTTCTCATTGGTGAAATGGGAATACTAATGCCAACCTTTTAGGGCTGTTGTGAGAAAAAATGAGACATTGTATATAAAGCACCTACCACAGCATGGCAGAGTGAGCATTCAGTAAGAGGTAGGTCTTTTGAAGAAAATGTGCGAACGACTTGGCCCAGGCTGAGAGAGTATGTAAACTTTCTAAAGGATTTACATTATGTTTTTATTTATACATGCTTAGACAAGTATTTCTGAATTCTAAATTTAGCCTTCAGTTAGGAATCCCTACTATAAATACTGGTACACAATGTGCCATAAATAGATGTTTGTTGACTGAATGAATGGAAAGATGGATGGATGGATGGATGGATGGATGGATGGATGGATGGATGGATGGGTGGATGGATGGATGGGTGGATGGGTGGCTGGGTGGCTGGGTGGGTGGGTGGGTGCATGGATGGATGGATGGATGGATGGATGGATGGATGGATGGATGGATGGCAGGGTGGGTGGGTGGATGGATGGATGGCAGGGTGGGTGGGTGGATGGATGGATGGATGGATGGCAGGGTGGGTGGGTGGATGGATGGGTGGCTGGGTGGCTGGGTGGGTGGGTGGGTGGGTGGGTGCATGGATGGATGGATGGATGGATGGATGGCAGGGTGGGTGGGTGGATGGATGGATGGATGGATGGCAGGGTGGGTGGGTGGATGGATGGATGGATAGGTTTTTGGATAGGTGGGTGGATGAAAAATAGGAAAGAATAGTGGGAGGAGGAAAAGATGGGAGGGAGTGAAGGGTAGGTAAGTAGTTGGAAAGATGAATGGTTCAATGAATGGATGGATGCATGAATGAATGATGGCTAGATGGGTAAATGCCACATAACTCCAATTTTGTTCTTAAAAGTGTGGTATGTAATAGGTTTTCTTACACTAGCTGGCTGGCTTGCCACTGAACCATGATCTTGTGCCAGTAACCTAGTCTGTATACATAGACACCTACTCTAAGGGTTTAGCAACCATCTTCACTATACCTTCATTGTAACAGACCTACAAATCCCTGTTACTAGTGAAGCAACAGAAGACAGAGACCTAAAACTCTAGCTGCTAAAACAATAAATGACTTCCGTTTCTTCTCGGTTCCAATAAAGACTTCAGAGTATACCTCCCGAACTACTATACTGTGGTCAGATGGGATGCTCTGATCACATAATTCTTCTGTGTGCCTACAGAATAACCTAGACTTTGGAAAAACACATTTCCTTTTCTTCCAGGTATTATATATGAGATTACATATACATTTGTGGTGGGATAGATTTTCTGTATTTCTCAAAGCTTATTTAAAAACTGAATTGAAAAAAACTTTAAAAATTGAGAGCTTTCACATACAAATATCCAACTGTCCAGACTACAAAAGAAAAAAAATCATAAGATGTGGCAACACAGGACGTCAGGGCCACCACATTAAGTTGTGCAGGCAGCCCTTGTTCACACAGACTATGATGTAAATGGAGTCACAGGTGTGCAGTGCACAACAGGCACATATTCCCCTGGGCCATAAAAACCTAAATCTGAACACTGACCTCCCCTTTAGATTGGGCCTGTGCTCCCCAGCGCCCCCCAGGCCTGGCAGCTCCCTACTTATCTCTTGCTTCACTTGTTTGTTTCCTGCCTGGCCCCCGAGGCATTTCAGTTTATATCCTCTGCATCAGACTTCTTTGCTTTCTGGCTACCTGACCAAAGGGTTTGACAGAAGTCGAGATGGGCCATCCATTTTAACCTTTTAATGCCACGGGGCCAATTTTTGTGCACACAGGCACAAAGACTAACAACAAAAATATTTTTAAAGAATGAAGTACCTATTTCTGATTCTGTTGCTAATAAGGGTGAGCCAGTAGCTTAAGCCCTTTAAAACGGGGTTACAAATAACTGTGATTATTATATTATTACTATTATAATCATTTCATATCATACTGGTTACAAATGACAAGAACATCTCTGATACAAAATTTATCATAAAAATGCAAATACAGCTTGAATTTTTCAGCATTTTTAAATATCTTATGGCAGATTTTATTAAATTAACAATGCTTAGTTTCTAGAACAGAGGGATAAACATGATTCTGATTTATGAACATTTATTGTTTTCTCCTGACTTGATCCTTACCTAGCACCTTTTGCTCTAGCCTGTCCACAGACAAAAAGCCATTCTAGGGAAAGACTATTGTCATAAAGAAGGGTCATGAAATTAACGGTTGTACTTATTTAGAAAAGTATTTAGCCATCTGAATGTTAGAGAACCTAATGCAAAACCCAATTAATAATGAAGATTATTTTAGGTTTCTTTAAATTATATAGAATAATTTATATTTGTTTTTATTTTTAAATGGGGAAACTTCATTTCTAATGGGAATATTTTATTCAATGAAATAAAATGACAGAATAATTTTAAATTTCTTCAAAGGGATTATGGTAGTTATGGGTAATTATTTAAAATTGTGTCCAGTGATTTGACTATAGAAAAATTGATGGGTTATTTGTTGGAGACAGCATCCATTTAGTGGCATGGCAATTACTACAAGACCATAAGGTTAATTTCTGTAAATCTCTGGAAAATATATATGTTGAGGAAAAAGTTTGAAAATTATATAACATAAGAGAAATGTGATTTTTCACTCGGAATATAAAAAAATTACCCTACAGATATAATTTTGCTTTAATTTGATAAATGACAAATTTGATAGATACTAGTTCATGAGTACAAATATCATTTATCAGAGGTGTCTAGAGCATAAGCTATTTCAACTAGTGGCATATTCTAGATCATTGAGTGGTACTACATATTCTATATATAGATGATCAGTTTCCAAAGAGGCATAGTATAAAAAGTTGGGTTTAGACGTGAAAATTAATGTGAATATAATTTATTATTATTTTTATACTCCGAAAATAAATGATCACATTCCTTCATGGCATACGAACCTAACGCACTGTCCACACTCAACAGACTAATGGGCCCGGATCTCTGACACACTTCATCAAAAATGTATTTATTTATTTCTTTTTCTAACTTATTAACTAAAAAAATACAAATTATTTTATTTTAAAAGTCTCATAATCCACAGTAACTTATTTTAGCTAAGGTGAAGAAGTAAAGAGGAAAATGGTCTTTGTCTCTGGTTAGTTGAATTTCAGATCACAAGGAGGTTAATATGTATTTTCAGAAGTAAATGAATTTCCAGGTAATTAAATGACAGACTTGTTTATGTTTTTACATTTCATATCCTTATAGAGAGTTCTAGAGTATGTTTATGTGACCACACTGAAGTCAACTGAAACTACAAGTGTATAACTCAATAATGCATGTTAACTTCCCTGGGATCCTAGGGCTGTTTAAATGCTAGCTGAGGAGCCAGCCTGATTTGAAGCAATGCACTGGCAGGTACTGACAACAGCACTTTTAAGAGCTCTCTAGAACAGAGTCAGTGTTTTACTCTCCACCTTGGCAACAAAAAGGCTGAAAAATCAAAATCAAAACTGAAGGTGTCATTTCAAATCATTCGAATGAACTCAATGGACTCGGAGGCAAAGGGGTCTTACAGCAGGAAAGTGTCATAAAGTAGCTTGACACACATACAACAAACAGTTTTGAGGAAAGGAAAAAAAAAGTACATTTCAATTCCAAATTGCACAAACAAAAACAAGAACACAAAACATCACTGAGCTTGACTCCACGTTTCATAAAGCTACAATTCCCAGTTTCTAAGGAAAACCACCGGAGAAACCTCAGATAAGTTGTCCCCGTCCCACCTTACCTTCTTCCACCTCATTTCTGACTAACCACCACCTGGGGGCCTGGCTGGCTCGCCTGCGCTACAGGACCCCACAGCCCTGGAGCAGCCCAACCCCTTACCTGGTGGGAGGAACGCTGTATGCTGCTGTAACTGCATGTTGGCTAGAGCCTGTTGGTATTGGAAAATACCAGTGTTAAAGACTGCGGTGGCACCGTTGGTTTTTTCAAGAGCAGGCCTCTTTGGTAATGGGGGAAGTACAGCTTGAGGAATTCCCTGTTTAGTGAATGAGTATAAAAAACAAATACCAGTAAAAAGAGAAAAAGAAAAAAGAAAAATCAGTTGAAGGGTAAAATTGTTAGGAAGCATGAGCAAGCAAGCAGCAGAGCCTTAACTACCCAAGGGGGAGGGGGGATCCAATCAACAAACACTTTCTAAAACAAACACGAGATAAAAGCTTTAAAGGAAGCATTATTTTCGGTCCAAAAATAAAAAGAAAACCCGCTAGTACACGAGCACATGTTACACTGCGTTAAAGTGTTTTAAGTCCCATAATGCTTCGGGCTTTCTGAGAAGCCACTGATTTAGGAGGAGGAGAAAAGTTGCACTGGGAGCTCCGTGAGGGTCGACAAGTGTAAGCAATGTTAATCGTTAATTGTACAGAGTGAACGAAACAGGTAAAATAACAACTGACCCCACTCTGCCCCTCCCCCCAGCTCTACCTAGACATGCAAATGCCCCGGAGCATGCAAGTTTTTTTTTTCTTGAACACTGAACTATAAATCTTAAAAAGTATAATTCTATCGCTAAAGCCATGCTAATCAAATAGGTACATAAACATACAGTCAAAATATACATTTTTAATGTCCTTGAAGTATTTCATTAGAACGTTCTACAATGTAGTTAAACTGAATGTGGGCTGCTGGGCTTTCAGAAGCTTTCATTGTATGATATCCATCCAGGCACTTATATTATAGTCTTTCCACTAATTTTGTCAGGAAACCACACTCAGTTTTTTCATTGTACTTTGCAACTTTATAACAGAAAAATATATATATATATATTAAAGTTGATTTAAAAAAAAAAAAAAACTTGTATCTACAACAAAGCTACATGCCAAGCTAAAAGGTGAAAGGTCATAGTACCAGGTCAAAGGTTGCCTCGAGGGGTCGCTTCAGTGATTTGACAGCCGACTGAGTCTTAATTAGCAGGCAGCGAGCACATGATGGCAATGGGCCAGTGGGGTTCAAGCGCATTAACATAAACAGCAAGCAGAGGTGCATCATGGGGGCAGCAGTGCATTTTTGGGTAGGTGAGAAAAAACAAATAAAAAAACAAATCATCGGAATGCCATATACAACGAATAACAAGACTAAGCATGCACAATAAGGGCACTACTGAGTTGTTATTGGGAGGATAACTCCTCTTTGTAGTTAATTACAAACAAGATCCTCTAACAGAAAAAAAAAAGAGTGAAAGGAAGAGAGGAAGAGAGAGTCAGCCTTCTGTATTTTTGCTCAAGTATCCATAAACAAACACAGAAAAGACCTCTCTCGTGATTATTGTGCTTTATGACTATTTTAATGGTCAGGTCATATATTTATGTAAAAAAAGGGGGCAATGTTAAAACAGCTAAGCAAAGAACAAAGAACAGACTCATTCAAATCAGCTATTCGATCACATTAAAATTTACCTTCAGACTAGAGTTTAGTATCTATTCTAAGTGATCCGATGTCTAACTCCTTGAGTACTGCTCTCTCCTTTCTAGATAATGGCATAGTCGAGCTTCCTTCATTTTACAATTACGTTTATGCCACGATATTACTTAGGACAATCTAGATGGCATACTGTTCAAAATCTTGTAGGTAGTTCTGAAAACGATTTTGTCCAAGCAATTCTCCTAAACAGTTCCAGATTACACTACTGTTAAAAGCGAGGCGGGCCTTGGTGTGCAGAAGGGCACGCCAAAGGGGGACAACGGCTGATTAGATCGCACGCAGAACTAAGAGCACCGGAAATGACAGTATCATTAAATTGAAAAAGAGACAGGTGTTCCTTACAAAGCAGAAATTTCAGGAACCCTACATCCAGAATATGACAGAGTATTAAGAGTTAGGCCAAAGGTAGAAGCAATGTGAACCATTTGAGGAGTTACCCTCACTTTTGTGAACGGTAACTACATTATGTATTATCTGGGATACCTGAACAAACATATTTTCAGCAAAAAAAAAAAAAAAAAAAAAGTTAATAAATGAAGAGCCTGTAGTCAGAACAACTCGTTCGCTGTGCTAGGGAGGAGCAAGCTGGCGTGTCCACTCACCATGGCAGCGGCGGTGGCTGCAGCCTGTGCTGCTGCAGCCTGGTTGACCTGGTATTGGGCAGCCTTGATCTTGGCTTGCAGATGTGCAGGAGGATGAAAGTATTTGCACTTTTCCCGAGAGCATCTCCCTTTGATGTAATCCATACACACGGTGACCGTGTTGTCGTTGGTGTCGATCATTGTGCTGTCAGCAGGATGAGCAAACCGACAATCGTTTTCTCCTCTGTTGCAATTGCCGCGCTGGTACTCTCGACACACCTGCAAGGTCACGAGGGGCATGGGGTCAGTCAACACGGACAGGCAGGATCTTCCTGAGGGTCTGCCCTGGAAGTGCAGGACCGGTGAAAGGCCACAGATGAAAAGGGAAAAGATAACGTGCCCACAAACGACAAAGTATCTTGAAAAATCCCTACTGAGGTGTACAAATTATAGCGCCGTTCCGGTAAAATGTGCATGAGCGAGAAAATGTATTTCTGACATTAATTATGTTACACATCTAATATAAAATAGGTGGCTATATTTATTAATGACGAAGGGGAGAATAGTAACATCACAGTGAAGAAATCTGGCAGACACCACTTTAACCAAGTGATCAAAGTTAACATCACCAGTAACAAGACATTCACGCACCTACTTTTATAAGCTCTGAAAAAAACAAGTGCGCAACATCCCTTTAGTTGTACGACAGCTGAGAATGCATAACCTGAATTTAATCATGAGGAAACACCAGACAAACTGAAATGAAAGGATGGTTTACAAAATAACTGATGGGTCCTCTTCCAAAGTCAAGGTCATGAAAGACAAAGAAAGGCGGGGCACTGTCACAGATTTGAGAGCCCTGGAGTCAGAGGGAGGGTGCTGATAAGACAAATGATGAAACTTGACTAAGCTCTGTACATTGGAGGACAGCAGCATATTGATGCTGATCTTCTGGTTTTGTAAATGACTCGATGGTTATGTAAGATGTTACTATTTAGGTAAGGGTGAAGAATAGGCAGGAACACTTCATTCTATTTTTGCAACTTTTGTGCTCAACTACAATTATTTCTAAGTCAAAAATATAAAGAGTAAAATTTGCTAGCTTTTTAGTAAAATGTTTCCAGGAGCAATTTTTTTTAGCTCCTTAGAGATTTCCTTGGTAGTTATATAAAGCAGATGGGAAAAGATTGTTTTTGTTACTGCCTATTTGTTTTATGTCTTTTAATTTTGCAATGGGGACCATGGAGGAAAGGTGAAAATGGATTATTTAGCATTCATTTGCTCAATTTTGACTCCTACTATTATTACTATTAAATAAAGTCTGTTGTGCTGATCTCTCCTATCAGGTTTCCCAGACTTTCATTTGGGATAGTTGGACCTTTTTACCACAAGAGGGCCTTCTAAAACATGGAATGTTCTTTTAATATTTTCATGTTCCCAGTTCAAGCTTCAAGGAAACGGTTTTTATTTTTCCTTTTTTCACAAACTGAGCAAATAAAGACTCTGAGCACTTTATTTTGGAGTTCAGCAACAAAGAGAAACGGGAACCCTGTTACTATTTAAAAAGCAAAGGTTTTCCTGGCTTTGTGTACCTAAAACGATCACACTGAATTCTAGCTCTTTTCCCCATTATACTCATGCCCATGATTGAAGAAGCTCTTCCTTGAAAAAGGATGGCACAATCTGTATCGTGCTACACCTTGAACAGAACATTATAAACGACCTCTTGCACTATTTGGAAACCTCAAACCAGCTACAGCTTTGTATTCCACATGAGCTAACTTGATTCGCCCCCTCATTCAATTTATTTAATTCTAAAAATTCACTGAATAACTACTCTGTGCCAGACCCTCTGAGGGATAATAAAAATACAAAAATGACTTAGGAGATTACAGACAACCCTATTTTATTGCATTTCATTGAACAGAAGAAAACAAAGATAACCGGGAGATTACAGCTCGAAAAGCAAAAATGATGACGCTGTCCTCCAGAACTACTGTCCTCCACTCGGGCCAAAGATCAGAACCAGCTGGGGAGCTTTCTAAGCCACACACACACTCCCCAGGCCCTAACCAACATTTACTGCATCAGACTCATCAACAGGGATGGGAAGACAGACATACTTAAAAGAGAATAAAAACTTTTCATGCATATAGATAAAATTTATACTAAACTGATACTACAATAAACAAAAAGGCTACTTTTTTTGTCAGTACAGCCCTATCCGACAGGAACCTACACGTGATCTCACAGAACCGCTGCTGGCTCTTCAGTATCCTGTTTCTTGAATAGGCTCGCAAAGAAACAGCAGGTGAACTAAGGAGGTTTCTCAACTGAGCTTACCTCTTTGCCAAGAAAGAGAAAGAAGATCTTTGACAAGAAAGAAGATCTAAAGGTAATCGATTTGGCCTGGCGGATGTGGCTCAGTGGTTGAGCACTGACCCATGGCATGCACCAAGAGGTCCCTGGTTCAATTCCTGGTCAGGGCACATGCCCAGCTTGTGCGCCCTATCCCCCGTGGGGGGTATGCAGGAGGCAGCCAATCGATGCTCTCTCTCATCGATGTTTCTCTCTTTCTCTCTCTCTCTCCCTCTCCCATGCTCTCTCTCTAAAAGGAATAAATGAAAGTAATCTATTTGTAGGATCTTTAATAACTATTAAAATCAAAGATTTGCTATTTTGCTGGGCTGAATTTGACTTTTTATTTCTCACTGATATTTCTATCTCTCTCTCCCTCCCTCTCCCTTCTTCTCTCTAAAGTCAATAAAGAAAAATTTTTTTTTAAAAATCAGTCATTCTAGGATACTTTCTCATACCTCTCCATTTGCTTTACTCATGTGTGGGCCATTTGTATAGCTTTATTTATTTATGGGACTGGATTACTCATTATATAGGTTTATTATAATGATTTATTACAATGTTGTACGTGCAGGATGCATTTTGGGAGAATTTTAAAACTACACTTGACCACCAGCAGCCGGCTTAGACCTTGTTCTAATGCCAGCCCCTTCTGAACTTCAAAGGGTTTAGTCAAATGCTTCTGCATGATACGTGTTTTTGTCTGTTTCTTTCTTTTTTTCCAGCTTAGGGTTTCTGATGACATGGGAAATGAAACAGAAGAAATATACTGAAATGGCAGTTCTCCCATTAATCTTGTCTTTGGAAAAATAAAGAAGAAATAAAAAATCCCTTGTGAAAAGCTCTCCTTGTGAGAGCTACAGGCCAGAGGGGCTGGTTTGGCCTGATTTCTCTGATAAATTCAAGACAACTTTAGAATATGCCGATCCCCAAAAGAAATCTCTTAGAGGGAGAATTCTATTAACAAATTATAATCGACAGAAAACACTTCAACAAATTTGATCTCATAATTCAAATCAGGATAAGAAATTGTACAATTTACCATACAGAAAATTTGGAACACAGAAGGTAAAATTAAATTTGAAAATCCTAACAATATTATGGCTCTTTTTCTAGTCTCATCCAGTCATCTGCATGTACACATTTTTCAAATAGGTGTAATTATAGTGCAGCTACTGCTCTGATATGTTTTTGCTAAGCATTTTCATTTTACTAAGTGTCCAGAATAATCATTTTTCATGGCTGCATCGAATTCCATCAAATAGATGTGTATAATATAGGTAACTCTTTCAGAGAACATTTGAATCATTTCCAATATTCCCAAATACCATACATAGTGCAAGGAATATATTCTTATGACAATAAGCATTTTAAAATCATTTTCTAAGGATAAATGTGCAGAAATGGCATTGGAGGATCAACGAATATAAGTACTTTTCATAGTTCAGTAAGTGGTTTTTCAAATCTAGCTTAAAATAATTCCAAGCATTTAGCTAGACACATACTATGCTTCAATCAAGAAGAAGGTTGGTTGAGTCTTTTACTCTATATGTCTTAAGACAGGGTTTGTTATGTAAATCAGGTGAGTTTTATATATTTTCATACAAAATGAACAAGGGGTTGCTTTCACAGTAAAAAACCATCATTTCAATGAAGATAGTCACTGAAAACGCTTAAGTACTACATTTCATTTCCAAAAAAAATCTATGGACTAAAAAATAATCCACTGGAGGAAGTGTTCTATGGACTCTGTGAAAAAGACCCCGGAGCCCCACCGAAGACCTTCCGAATCAATCTCTAGGGAGGAGGCTCTCCATTTTTTGACAATCATCCCAAAGACTTGGGGCATAAATAAGGTGCCTATTTTGTACTTGGAATGTTCAAAATTTAAACATGTTCCCAAGAAGAATGCTAATAAAAGCTAAAAAGTTGTTATGTTTTAACTGCACTACTGGATTATCCCAAACTCGAAATAAGAGCACTTTTTTTTCTGTGATTAATTGGTTAACTGGTTGATTGTTTCATTGACTCATTCATTCATTCATTCATTCATTCATTCATTCATTCATTCAACAAGCTATCGGGCATCATCCGTGAGCTTGGCACTCCTCTGATGTGAACTTTTTCTTGTTGATAAGAGATTTGAGAGATATCCCTCACAATACTTTTTCCTTGAAAGATGTTCAATAGTTTTTCACTTGATATTGTTGAATTAATGGGAGGAGTGCATTCAGGGGTCCTTTTGCACCATAAAAATACTATGTTTCTCTGTTTCTTGAAACTAAGTCAAACAATGATTTTAATTATGCTTCATCATGAAGCAGGACTGTGAATAAAAACCTCAGTCTTTTCCAGTACCTACAGATTTTAACAGTTTCTTAAAATAATCATTCAAAATAAACTGCTGCTTAGAAATTACAGAAAGGCATCCCAAGGTCACAAAATGGAATTTTAAAAGCCACTATGACTGATATTTAAGACATTTGCTCCTCCTTAGAAAAAACTGTGAAAACTGACTTTTACAGTAACAGAAAGTCTTTTAAAAGATACCTATCAAAGAATGGGCAATATGAATATTGATATAAAGCTTATGCATATGTTTTACACATACATTTCAAAAGTCTGTAGCTGACATTAACGTCACGAAAATTACCTGAATGTCCCCAGAATGTTCCGACTATCTCAGAGATCACCTAGTCCACTCCCCTAATTTTATGTGTGTGGAAGATGAAGCACAGAGAAATGAGAAACTTAAGCCAAGCTTACTCACCTAACTAATTAGCAACAGCACTAGCACTAATCCCTGGAGTCCTGTTTTCTAATTTAACATGTTTTTTGTTGTTGCTGAATCACATTGGGTGCTGTAAATACTTGCTAGTTCTTCCAAGCAATTATATAAGAACCAGAAGGCTGATAAATCTATGGTATTTTTCATTTCTTTATTGTCTAACGAGTTGTAGCAAAAAGAAGGAAGTGACAAGAAAAATCGGCCAGTATTTTAATCGAGTTAAATGTTTTCAGCTCCAAAGGACTCAAAATTCGAAAATGTACATTAGAGTTCCTTGAGGAAAATATAAAGTATAGATTTAAATGCCAAATAACTAAACAGGTGGCTAATTAGCAAACAAGTATGTGCACTTAATGCAATGTCTTTTAGACTCCGGTCTGCAGTGCAATTAGCACGAGAGAAAACAACCTGAAGATAAGAGTGTCTAAAATCACAAGTGCCGGGCAGGAAGACATGCCCCTTTGTTCACAGGGCAACATCCCAACAGGCTGGAACTGTGACACTGGATCGGATGGATTAACAAGAACGAGACAGGAAGCTGCTCCACCACCGGGCCTTTAGATAAGTAGCATTCAGGTTAAAAGGAAATGACTATCAATGCAGCAGTAGTCACTTGTTGCGACTCTAGCAAATTAAGACAGACAACATACACGGAGAAGCTCCGCCCAAAAGAAAAACAATACCAACGGACAAACATTTTCACTTTGATTAAACACTATGCAGAATACAATCAATCACAGACTACCGAATATTGTGAGAGGGTTAGTTTAGAAGAGTTCTGACCACATAGCTCAGCCTTTTAAAGATATTCTTTTAACAAGATTTTAAGAGATTTTTCTCAGCTTTCTAAATGTCATCTCCTATTAATAATTCACTGCCCTGGCCGGTTTGGCTCAGCGGTTGGAGCGTCGGCCTGCGGTCCTGAGAGACCCGGGTTCGGTTCCCGCTAAGGGCACGTACCTCAGTTGCAGTTTGTCCCCGGCCCTGGTCGTGTGGGTGGCAGCCACTCGATGTGTCCCTTTCACGTCGCTGTTTCTCTCTCTCTCTCTGTTCCTCTCTCTCCCTCCCACTTTACCTGAACAAAAAATGGAAAAATGTCCTCGGGTGAGGATAAAAAAAATAAAATAAAATAATTCACTAAAGTTCATCTCAGACTGCCTATTTGGTTCCCATCAATCAATCAATCAATTATGCATTATGAACCCAGGGTTCGCTTCAGAAAGATTGCGGGGTGGGGTTCACATGTTGCACACCTGATCATTTTTAAACACTGAAAATTTCTCCAATTTCCTCCTGACTTACAGCAAATGGCATTGGTTAATTAGTGAACAAGCGCCGGGTGCAATGACAAGCCGCACACAGGTCAAGGTCTCTCTATCTCCTTGCTGACAGCAGAACCCCCCTTCCACAGAGGGCACACGACCAGGTCTCCAAGTCCTTTCTGGGTTCTGCTCCCAGTAGTCTCTTAATTCGCAGCCTTTTCCAAAGTGTTTAATGAAAGGTAAGAAATAAGCTTAAAACAAACAAAACTTTAAAGAGTGTGCAGGGGCCAGAATCTGCTGCCTCTTCTGTGTATTATCACCTGTATGGAAATAGGGGCAGATACAGTGTTTAAAAAACGACATTCTGACTTCACACCCCTGGAACCTTTGTGACCTTGAAAACATTATGTCGCATCTCTCCCCCTGAAGTCACTGCCCTAGTAAGTGGAGCTAATTACAGTATCTTCCGCATAAGATTGTTTTGAGGGTTAAATGTGTGATGCACGTAAAGGATTTGGTATTTGGTAGACAATAAACATCCAATATATATCAACTATTATTATTACCATCAAAAAGGTGATGGCAGTTAGAACTATGCTGAAATCTGAGACTGTAAAGCATACAATGAAACGCAATAAACAGGAAACTGGTGCTTATTAAAGAAACTCCTGCTAAACTGATAAATTATTAGTGTCAGTTATGTTCCCACAAAAGCCTTATTTTGCTGCTTCCTCCATAATTAATACATGCAGAACTTCTCATCATTCAGTACTACCTCATCTGAGCCAGGGAAAAGAGGAAAAGGTCACTTGGTTCTTTAGCTGGACACTGCTGACAGGTTTTAGAGCTTCATTGTACAGTGATGTTGCCATTTTCCCCCTCGATCTGTAGTTTACCAAATTCATTCATTTACAGCCATGCTGAAACGCTGAACGACGTCAGTATGATTTATATCTTTAATTCTTTTTCATGTAGCAAGAGCAAAGCCCATACATCTGATCGTCCTTGACTCTAGGACTTAGAGCATCACACAATTTCCAATTAAAAATGTTTTAAGAGCACAGTTCATAGCAAAGTCGCCTTGTTATTCCAACCAAAACACAGTAAAGCTTATGAGGCAATTTGCAATATTAAATTTAAAAATGCTTTATAGATAGCAACTAAATAACACCTTTACGAGAACAAGTATCAGGGGATTAATAAAATTTGTTGTTCTTAATAACAACAGCAATAAATACTTAAGAATCATTTGCTGGGCGCCAGACATTCTTCTTACTCTCTGAGGTAAGTGCCATTATTAGCTCCATTTCAAAAATGAAGAAACTGAGGCACAGCAAAGTAACAGGCAGTCTGAACCCAGAGTCCAAGTTCTTATCCATTATTCCACCCATAGATGTTGTGGCTTTATTTACATTATATTCATCAAATATAGCATACCCATATTCCAGTAAAATGCTCTAAACATTAAACCAAAACCTCTGCTTTTAATTTGTTTTAACTTCTATGGCAATGAAGGAAATAAACAAAGCAATAGTGCCCTTTGCAAATGACAACAGAGTACAGAAAGAAACCCGCTCATCATCCCTACCTCAAGTCTGTCTGTCCGCATTAGTTTCTGTGCAGCAGCTGCTGCGGCTGCAGGTACAGGGACCCCAGGATTCCCTGCCACCAACATTGGTGCAGTCGGCAAGATCTCCGCTGGAACCAGGCTTGGGGAGACAGGTCCCAGGTAGGGATTAAAGGCTGCTGATGCATTGGTGGCTAAGCTTGGCGCAACTGAAAACATTGGCTGAAAAATAAAGTGAAAAGAAAAATTTAATATGAAGGTCTTGATTGAAAGTTGGTGTCCTAATATATATGTTCTATCCACCCATCATCCATCCATCCATCCATCCATCCATCCATCCATCCGTCCGTCCGTCCATCCATCCCCAATCTATTCTTCCTTCCTCCCGCCTTACCTCACTCCACTTAATGTTGTGTTTATTTACTCTCATTCAGGATAAGGATGCTTCTTAAATAAGCATTGGTCAAATCAATATTTTTCTAAAATGTAACAGGTAACATACCATTAAATTTTCCACTGGAATGTTAAACCCTGGGGTCTGTAATACATGCAATTTCTTTATGAACAATAGATCAACCAACTACTCAGTAGGGAAACTTTTGGTTACCTAATTTCCACCTTTGTCCTGACTTAGCCCTAGAAACTGGTCTAAGAAATGTATTTCATAATTGCTATGTCAGATGTTCTTGAAAGATCTGTTTACAACTGTTAATAGATTGCAAGTGTCCTATTATCTAGACTAAATAAAGCAGAACTCTCCATGGAGAACTGAGTTTCACCATCAATGTAAACTGTGAATAAATCTCATGATGACACCATTTCTTTTGGGCACGCAAGATAAAGTGTTTGGCATATTCACTTGTCAAAGGTTTTTCTGGGGAAATGATAAATATTACAACAACCTATCACACCCTTGTGAGATATTTAACAACAAATTCATCCTACTAGGGGGGAATCATTCAAAAATGTGAAGTCTGAAAGAGAACACTTCTAACTATATGCTACAGGATTCTTCAAGGGCATACCTATGGTAGTACTGAAGAAAATGTACAAAATTAAAATTCTGCCAGAAGTACTTTCATGGATATATGAGAATGGTTTCTATTTGTTGATATAAAAATGTGCATATCAGGAAACATATCTGTTCTTTTTTTTATTATTTTTATTTTTTTGTTAATCCTTACCCGAGGATATTTTTCCATTTATCTTCAGATAGTGGAGGGAGAGAGAGAGAGGGAGAGAGAGAGGGGAGGGAGGAAGGGGGAGGGAGAGAGAGAGAGAGAGAGAGAGAGAGAGAGAGAGAGAGAGAGAAACATCGACGTGAAAGACACACATCGAATGGCTGCCTCCCACACAATCCTGACCAGGGCCAGAACCACAATGGAGGTACATGCCCTTGACCGGAATTGAACCCACGACTCTTTGGTCCGTGGGCCAACGCTCCAACAACTTAGCCAAACCGGCCAGGGCAGAAAACATATCTGTTCTTGATAGACTTTAACAATTCATCTAAAATCTATCTAGCAATTTTCTTTTCCAGTTTTAGAGGCATAACCTAGCACAACACTTTTTCATCTTATTGATACATTTTCAACTTGCTAAATCAATGTATTTTCAATTCTTAAAGTTTAACACTTTATGTAATAGTAATGATAGTCTCCAAAACACAAAAACGAATGGACAAAAGTTCCTGAATGTCATTTCTAACAATTCGTTTTCTTTTACCTTGTGGTTAAAGAACAGAATCATAGACATTTTTGTAGAATAAAAGGGACATTACAATGTAGCTAATTCTTCTCTCAGAAATAAGAAGTTCGATGATCCTGAGTTTATATAACAATCAAGAGAAATTTGAAGTAAAGTTCTAATGCAATTAAGATGTATTTCTCATAGCTCACAAGAAACATGTTAAAAAAGACATTTCCTTGATGTAGTCTGGCCCTGACTTACAGATTTCAAGTATTCCCTTTTTCCTAGGAGAGTAGTTCTCAACTATGGGTGATTTTGCCTCGCAGCAGACCTGGCAATGTCTAAAGACATTTTTGGTCGTCCCAGCTGGGGGGTGCTATTGCATCTAATGGTAAAACCCAAGGATGCTGCTAAATGTCCTACAATATATGGGACAGCTCCTTACAGCCGAGATCTATCCCAGCCCAAACGTCAATAGAGCTGAAGCTGAAAATCCCTGTCCTAGGAATGCACTTCTTCTCTTGACCTCACACATAGGTTTAGGGCAAAATCTCTGTGTATGCAGCTAGCATACACACTCTTACTAAGAAGACCGTGAAAAACAGAAACTGTGATACTTAATTTGATTCACTTGGGAGAAGGAACGATACACCGTAGATTCCTTTGGTATTTTCAAGGTAAAATAATTATGCCTCAGAACGTGCTGGTTTAAATGCCATGGTTTGCTGCCAGGCAGGTCGGTGGCTCTTGCCTGATGAAGTGGCCTAAAGTCCTAGCGCCCATCCCCAGATCCATGCCTGCCCGAAGCCGCTGCACCCGGACAGCGCCTCCTGCCTTCCAGATGGAACAATCCATAACCTGTCAGCAGCTGGGGCCGGGGCAGTCTCTGCCCACCAACAGCTACCTGGACAGCTGATTTATTATGCTCCACTGTCTACTGGCTGCCAAGGCAGCGGCAGGACAAGGGTTGGCCTGTGCAGTGGATACATATTGAAGTTGGACGTCTACTCTGAAATATTCAGGTAAAATTACACTGTTACAAACTCTCAGATACAATATGCAAAATGTCAGCCAGGCCAGTGATCGATTTTTCCTATTAGATATTTAAGAATTATAGGAAATTGAACACTGAGGACGAAAAGACTAGAATATGGAGAACAGACCCAGGCAGTACCATTCCTCTTTGTAGTCTACTGCTGTGAGTTAATTTCTGTTTCCAGATAGTGCATTTTCTGAGGTATACTAAAGAAAGTTACTGAGATGTTCACATCACTGTACATAATCTACTATAATTATTTAGAAGGAGATAGAGGTAAAATTTATAAACTTATTTGGAGGGAAGAAAAGGATTCCTGTTTTAAGAAAGTAAGACCAGTAGCCAATAAAATTCAGCTTTGTTAAAGCTCACTGAATAAAACCAAAGTATACTCTGCAATGCCTATAATACCAGAAGTTGCATATTACAGGGAAAAGAATACTTCTATTAGATACGAATATGGATATTACTAGCTGGCAACAATTTTCCCACTGTAGTCTTTCTACAGAATTGTCACATGAATTGATTTCCGGATTAATTCAGCAGAACAAATTCACATCTGATGAGTTTTAGGGCACGCTCCCCAAGTAAAATCTGCAGCGGCTTTTAAAAGTCTGAAACATCAACTATTCAACAAGCATTATCTCAAAATTGTTCCCTCTCCAGATAAGTAGAGCTATTTGCTAAACAGGTGATCAGTCAATAATAATAGCTCTACGCTTTGAAACTTGATTCCAAAAGCTGCTAAAAAAAAATTTTTTTTTAAAGTACAACATTCCATCATTTCTTTTGCATTTTTGTAAATCTGTTACATCCCTTTTTCAAAGAGCACCTTGCTGGAGGTAGGTCACTGCTGGGCCCATCAGCGCCCTAACAGGATTAGGAAGGAGCTTGAACTGCTGCCCTGCCAAATCTCCATCCAAAAGCTACCCTGCAGAGGGTTCAGCGGAATCACAAGGACGGATATTAACCCGGTGGTATTATCAAGTGGCATCCTATTTTCTCTGAAGTATCCACAGGATAATGCATTGGATACTAACTGCACCCTTGTAATGATGATTTACAGAGACCTCGCTTCCAGGAAGGCATAAAGAAGGTTGCCTTAGTATTGTCCTTTGCCAGTGACCACCTTGAACAGAGAAAAACAATTTTTACAAATGCTGGTGCTTTTGTGGACTAATCATCTGTTTGTTTGTTTGTTTTATTTATCTTCACCTGAGGATATTTTTCCATTGATTTTTAGATAGAGTGAAAGGGAGGGAGGGAGAGGGAGAGAGAGAGGAAAAAAAACAAAGATGTGAGACACATCAATTGGTTGCCTCCTGCATGACCCCAACCGGGGCCAGGGATTGAACCTGCAACCCAGGTACAGCATAATCAAGGTGTATAAAACTGGATTTCGTGTACAACCCTGTACAAGAGCTATAAACAGCCTTTGTAAACAATTATTTTGAATATAACTGACCGAAATCGAACCCAGGACCCTTCTGTCCACGGCCGATGCTCTAACCTCTAAGCCAAACCGGCTAGGGCTCAGCCCACCTATTTAATTCCTAATCGTGCTTCAAGAAGCAGGATTCTTCCTATGGAAGTTCCCCCCGATCCACCCACACCCCCAACTATAAACAGACTTTTCCTGCCCTGTGTTCTAGAATTCCTCATCACTCAAGTCCAGCATTAATCACCACGTGTGTGATCATCTGTCTGTCTCTTCTGCTGCAAGCGGCCTGCAGGCCCTCAGAGGGCAGGCTCGTGCCCTGTGTTTTGTTCATGTTGTTTATATCCTGCAACCGGCACCCGCGCTGGTCCTCGACAAACATTCGCTTAACACATGCATCAACGGATTTGCGATTTTCCTGTCACAGAAACTAGCAAGTGCACTACATGTTTTCTAGAAATCGATATTTAAACACTGGATAAAGAGATTTAATGTTATTTCCTCTTTACCTCAAAATTTAACCATCAATTTCTCTCATAAGATTGTTAGAAAAGTTTCATTTCTTTTCTTTCGGTTTTGTAATTTTAATACTGAATTTTCTAGTTATCATGTTACCACCCTGTAATGTTGCAGGTATCATAGAGCCCCTAATTTATTTTAAAGCACTATGGGAAACAGTGTTTGTTTTGCAAACAATGTTGGCAAGTTTTAATAAAATAGAGGGATAAATAAATAATACATAACTGGTATATGCTGGGATTTACAGAACACACATTTTAAGTCAGATCTGTCTAGATCGTGTGTCTGTGTATTTGTGAAGGTCAAATTAGCAAGCGATGACATATAAAGTTTTAATTAAAAATTAACAGCATGATCAAGGTGTATGAAACCAGATTTCTTGAACAACCCTGTACAAGAGCTATAAACAGCCTCTGTAAATAATTATTTTGAATATAAACATAGAGCCAAAAGCTAATGGAAGTTATCCACAAATTCACATTACAATGTATTTTTTTCTAAGAAGGTAACGGACAACCCCAATCAAAGACATGCCACTGTAACCTCTGTTTCCAGACTGCCTTGCAGACTGGGCAAATCAAGTGGCCATTGACATGGTCCTTAATTTCACTTTCTCTTTCAATGCAGTTTGAACACTGAAAGAAGGCTCGCTTCCGGCTCTCCAGGTGGAAAAGCAGCAGCAAGCGTGCTGGTCCCTAAGGTCGGGGCCACCCTCAAGCTCCTCATGGGAACAGGCGTGAGAAAGGCCAATGGATGAAACATGATTCAGGGTGACTGACTGGAAACGTTTTACCAGAAACACTTGGGATGAAGTGGCCTTATCTCAACCACTAGTTGGATAAACTGGGGGGAAAAAGCACTAAAAGCTAATTTAAGAATCCTAGGTGTTCCTGGAAGTGCGGCAAACGATGACTTCAAAGCTTTCCGCATCCAGCTGTCAACACAGGCTCGGAACACGGGGCGAGAGCTAGAACGAGAGGACCAACAGCCGAGAGCACCCAAGACTTCAGCTGAATGCAGTTAACTCTGTATTCCTCTGTCCCTAACGACTCCAAATGCATGAAATGCACGGGGAATTTGACACGGGGTAGGGACCTGCACACAGCCAGGTGTGTGCACCCTAGGGGCAGCAGTCATCGGAAGGCATGGATGGATGGCCAAGGCTAACCTTTGGGAGCAAGGGAAAGGCACCAGAGGCCACCGCTGGCTCTCCAAGGGCAACGACAAGAGCCTGAAATCAACAGAATTTCTGAAAGATATTTTTCAGCAATGGACCCAAGAAATATACCAGATGCCTCCAAGTTGTAAGCTGCAAGGTGCAATCTACCTTCGGTTAGGCTATTTCATCAGATCTCATTAGATTAGTTCTGGGTCAGAGAGTGCGTAGCAAAGTTAAAAAAAAAAAAAAAAAAAAAATTTAAGTAGCACTTAGAAAATAAACCCAAAAGTTTTATTTTAAAAAATTTGGATAATTAAATACTATAGGTCTTCCATTTATCTTCACATTACATAGCTAGTCGGTTGCAGGGCCAGTCATATTAATTAATCTCTCCGAACCTCTGAGTCTTTAACTGTAAATTTGGGATAATATTACCTACTTTAGAGGATGGTTGTAAGGATTTATGATACAAAAAGTACTGAGTTCAGTAAATGCCCATACAGTATTATATTTGCCCCAAAAATGTTAAATCCTCTTTCTGATTCTTGGCTGGGTGCCTTTCATTACAATTTAATCAAGTCCATAAAAACAGAAAACTCCCCTATAAATCTCTGCAATTCCCAAGTCAGCCCAGTGTCATGTTCCAAAGATCTTAAATTTATAGACCAGGTCTCTCAAAATTTATGAGAAAACAAGAACCCAAATTGAGTGACATAACAGCAATTTCCTGGTCCCAAAGTACCCTCGTGAAGCCCCTGGCTGCCTCTGCTAATGGCCTGCTAAAATGTATCCTCCTCCAGCCCCTGGTCCATGCTGCAGTCTGGTACCTTTGGACACTGGGGAAGGTAAACTACCATAAACCTCTGCCTGTTTTTCGTGTTTGGAAAACTCCTTTCTCCTCATTTTTTCTTTCCCATACCAAGCAATGTTTGATCTCTGCGACATGCCAGGCACAGTACTAGATACTTCTGAATCTGATTGGACCCTGCCTGCTAAGCCCTTGCCCAATTTGCATTCCTCCAGCTATAGTTTGGGGGCCACACTGGTTGCCCTGAGAAAAACGAAGATGCTCCCCCTATATGACGACAAGTCCTGCAGCCACTCGGACTGCTGGTACTCCTGGTATTATGGATGTGCTCAGTATTTTGTCCTTTTCTATCCCCAATACGTTGTGTTGGGTCCAAGTTTGTGCCACGTCTTCAAACACTGTCATGGGTACTACAGGCCACCCTCTTTGAGTGGCAAGTCCTCTCCCTGTGAGTCACCCGGCTGCTTCCAGCCTCTTATCTTCCCTATTTGTGGGCCCAGCATGAACGTTCCAGCAGGCAGCTGGTTATGACCATCTCGGTTATTTCCGAATCGCCACACCACTGTCCTCCTCCAAACAGGGCTCACTCACGACTAGGATCAAAAGTCCCAGGTGAGGTTTCAAAGGCAAATTTCCTGGATTAAAGCGTTCTCTATAGCCATTAAAACCTCAAATGCTTTAAAATTGAATATTTAAAAGGACTTTTATACTTACTATAAAAATGTCACTCTACATAGAGCGTATTTCTAAACTGATCTCTTGGTGCCTCTAGCTAAAGAGTAATTGCACTTTCAAACCTAGTCATATCAGGGAAAATTAACATAAAGCCTGAATGTGCTCACAACAAATAAAAAAAAATGAATAGAGAGAAAACTCATGGACATGGACAACAGTATGGTGATTGCAGGGGAGGGGGTGCAGAGGGCATAGAGGGGATAAACGGTGATGGAAAAGAGAAAAAAAAGAAAGAAAAATATAAAAAAAAGAAAATGAATGCTTTGTCTAAGCTGAGAATTTCCCAACAAAAACACCAGAAAATGTGGTGATTTTTCTAATGGTTTCAGGGACCTGTGACTTAGTGATTTCCTAAACAATGCATATCTGTTACTAGTAGTATTTCAAAGCCATGAGCATAAATGGCGCTTAGCGTTTGTGCCAGGATTACGCACGGGCTGACCCTGGAAATGGCCTTGAGTAAAACTCAAGGACTATCTCAGCAGAGGAACTGCCGTGACCAACGCTGTTCTCTGCGGTCTGGGAACCACACCTGCTGATCCCAGAGGTGCTCGTGGTCCCTGAGTGGGTAGAATAAGCTTTAAATGTTTAAGTGGAACAAAGTGTCTCCCATCAAGGAGAGATCTTCTATCAACTAAAGTAGTAGATACCCCAACAATTCATCGAATCTTTGAAACTATATATGGGAGGGCCAAGTGTAACAGAGAATTCTTATCCAATATTTTATGTTAGAATGACAACTAAACATTTTTTAACCAAATGCAGAATTCATGCTATCCCAATATAGACAAGTGAAATTAGCAGATATCACAAAAATAAATTTAAGATATCGTATTTTAAATTGAGCCCCCAATAATGGAAAAATATATATATATATATCAAGTTAAAACAGACACAGAATTACAACGTTCTCTCACCTCCACTGTACAGTATTGATAATTGGTATCACTGCCGATGTGATATGGAGATCCCTCCCACCTCGAAATGCAATCCCCCCCTCTTTTTTGGAATGATTGGTGCATTAAGTTCTAAGAGAGAATAACAATTACATTGAGTTCAGATGTTAAAATGTATTAGAAAAAAAATTTGTTATCCCACATGCTACAGTTAGTGTATCAGAAAAATGTGGGTTTTCACATTCCCAGGACCCCAAAATACTACATATAAGTTAGTAACATATATTAACTGACAGATATAATCTTATCGTTGCAGATTTCAACATGCATTTAAATACAGAATTACCACATCACAACTAACATCAGAATACCTTTTGCCACCTAAAATTATGACATTAATTTCTTACATTTCTAGGAAAAAAATGTGAGTAAAGGTTATTAAAGTCATTTATCATATACACCCTCCCAAAATCGAAATAAATAAATAAATATATGTGCTCAGACTCAAATGTTATCTACATTCACTGCTCAGTAAACATTAAATCCCTATAGCCACCTACAGCTTCTAATATTTAGGACTTTTCTTAAAAGGCCTTGGAGTTTCTGCCTCTCTTGATTATTTCTCTTTTTATGAGTCTTCCAAGTCCATGCTATTGATTCATCACTGTCAGATTCTTTTAGCATTTGTAACTACGAAATAATTTCAATTTATGTTTAAAAGAATAACAAAGACTCCTTTTTTAAGAAAAACAACTATGGGGTCTCTTCAAGGAGGGAAGAAAGGGAAAAAGTTTCTCAAAATTACAGATGACATATGCCAAGTTTTACAATTACTATTACCATTAAAGTAGTCTGAAAATGCACACTGACTAGATTGATAAGTCTGATGACCCTTTTAAACAAAACAAAATATAACATTTTATACTTGAAAGTCACAGAATTTCATTTGAAAAAAATTTTAGGGGAAAAACATGCTATAATGCAAACTTCCACATGATTTAGCCAGAAGATGAGTAACCTCACGGTGTGAAAACCGTTCCGGGGTTTGCCTGTAACTGGGGTAGCGAGTGCGAGGCACTGATCCTGTTACCTGTGCTACTTGATCTAGTGCAATCATTACTTTAACATTGAAGCTGAGCACTTGAAATTATAAATGTAATAAACGAGTACTGAGAACATGCTCACCACGGGTTGTAATGGGGCACCGGGCATCATGGCATTGGCTAGTTGCATTTGCTGGGCCAACATGGCCATGTTCTTCTGCTGAATCAAGTTATTGCGCCCATTTATCTCCAACTGTGTTTTTAAGTGTGGGGGTGGATGAAGATATTTGCAGTTCTCCCTGGAGCAACGACCCTATAAGACAAAAGTAGAAACTATCTTTAAAAAAAATAAAATAAGCAAATCTTTAAAAATGGTAATAATGTGAACCCACCACTTGAATCTACCATGGGTTTTGCACACAATGTATTGCCCAAATCATTTTATAATACGTTTAGAATAAGCAATGAATTCACCCAAATGCACGAAAATGAGGAATTAAGACATTTGAAAAGGTTTTAAAACTTAAATGTTTTTTTAAAAAATTTTAATATTAGCTCTATTATATCAAGATCCAAGTTTAAAACTCTACAAATTGCCAGGGTAATATTAAAATACAGAACACCAAAAAAAGAACATTAGGCTCCTTCCATAATATCTCTGGTTAACTTTAATGAACCCAAAAGAATCATGAAGTTTTACCATCTTATTTTTACTTGAATTGAATTCTAAGGAAATGAACTTAGAGAACTCAAGGCACACCATATTTTCAGTAAAACACCTTTACAAGTATCTCATAACAAATAAAATTTAAATTACTACTAAGCTTTAAAGGCCCATGTACTAAGATATTTACAGATGAAAAGAAGAAAAGTCCCACATGTTCCCAGTGTGTACAGACATTAGCAAGTACAATGAAATATTGGTGAAAAAAATGTAGCCTTTAACCTTTCAAAGATAAATGTACTCTCCATTGCCCAAGCACCATAAATCAATCAGAAATAAACATATTTACCCACCAAAAAACTTTACAATGTAAAATGCACAAACAGCCCTGGCCGGTTTGGCTCAGCGGTTAGAGCGTCGGCCTGCGGTCCTGAGAGACCCGGGTTTGGTTCCCGCTAAGGGCGCGTACCTTGGTTGCAGTTTGTCCCCGGCCCTGGTCGGTTGTGCGGGTGGCAGCCACTCGATGTGTCCCTTTCACATCGATGTTTCTCTCTCTCTCTCTGTTCCTCTCTCTCTCCCTGACTCTACCTGAACAAAAAATGGAAAAATGTCCTTGGGTGAGGATAAAAAAAATAAATAAATAAAAAATAAAATAAAATGCAGAAACAAAGTAAGTTACTATAAAATAAGAAATGTGAATATACTTTCCTTTTGGGATGATTCTTTTCATCAAAAATACATACTAAATAAAGTCTGTCATACTGTATGAGGGATTGTACCCACAGTGCTTCGATATCCTGTCAAGTCACATTGATAGTAACAGATCTCCTCAACTGCTAGCCTGATAACTTCTTTTACCAACAATTCTAATTAGAACTGTTTGTGAGGGTAAAATATTTATTTGAAGGCATCAACTACCTTTTTGAGCTATCTTTGATTTTTCTAAGTTTTTGTCCCCATAATTTGACCTTATACTTAAATTGATGCAGAAAACTGATGCTTCTGTTTCTGATAAAATCTGTCAATTCTAACTTGAATGATCAATTTCTAGCTCATTTTGACTTAGACTTTACGAGCAAGTTTCTATACAGAGCTAACATCTCAGGATACTGCCTGTCACTTTAACAAGCTTCACGTGACAAAGCATGACTAGTAATACTTCCAATCAGGAGGCAGTGGAGGGCCATCACTGACAGAAGGACCTCACGGGTCTTGAGACCTGGGGTACAGGCCTCGCTCTCTCACTCATCAGCTGTTTGAACTGCATTAAAAAAAAAAAAAAAGAAAAACTAACTTCTTTAAGCTTCCAGCTTTTGACCTATTTCAAACCTGCTACATAGCCCTCGGCAGAAGTTTACTAACAAGATTAAGAACGTAATGCATGTGCTGTAAGTGATGAAAAGGCCCAGAGCTGTTAGTACCACCTCAGACACTCTATCAACTGTACGGTCAACAAATGAGAACATTTTGGCATGGAGGTAATTTTCAGGTTTGTTGATATGTTCATAGATAAAGTAAGATTTAGAGATCGATAACCTATCCATATGAAATCACCATGCTTGCTGTCTACTGAGATCATGAGCCTGTTATTAGCTTAAAAGCAGCTGGATGCAAAACACCTTTTACACAAACAGCATTTGGAGTCACGGAGAATGGCTGGCCAAGAAAAATAAGCTCGTGGATGATGGATAGTCTGATTCCAGGGTCATTTAGTTGAAGTCTCCTAGAGACAACCTGTTCTTTCTATACAAAGAACAACCTGGCCCTAAGAGAAATTCCGGTTCTCAGTACCCCGACGTCATTATTCTTGCTAACATTGGAATTAGGCAGATAAGCAGGGTTACATTCACCCTGAGGACTCAGGTACTGTCAATGCACTCAGCTGAGTTTCCATAGTTCCAAAAACAGCAGAGAGGTCGCCCTGGGCCGGGAACCAGGCCTTGCCAAGGTGACAGTGGTCTTTATTGGAGTGCCTTCTTGAACACAAACCACCAGCCTCTGAGCAGACTGAAATAATGAAGGACACAGGCCACACTGGCGCACCACACATCCTGTGTCAGTGCCTCGCAAGGTTCGGAATAGAAGCTCAGGCCTTCGGTGTCCTTTCTGAGTTAGCTCCCTCTGCTCCGGAACAAATGCCATTCCTCCGCACTTCGTACACAGGCTCCCCTTCTGTGCCCAGCTTGATCTGACTGCTCTGGGGCGTCGCTTTCAACAAGCTACGCTTGGAAAAGCACACAGACGACAGAGGCTCTTCCACAGAGAGTTTGTGGCCATAGGTCTGGGGGCCCAGGCTATTCTGATAGAGCATAAAACACCGCAAGCACAGCTCCGTAAAGCCACATGAATTTCTCATTGACGTGTGTGGAGAAAATAACAGAGTAGCCTCTGCAATTAATATCAGATAAACTAGCTCCTTAGGAAGTTCAAAACTTGTTTAATGCTGAGTGTGCTGCCGAATAATTGTGGTTTGCCAAATAAAAAGGTCAAGAATAACTCAGAATAAACATCCTTTTCTAGAGGATTGCCTAAAGCCCCGGGGAAAACCACAAGCAGCATACCTTCTGTGGAGAATTAAGGTAAATATGACATTGGTACCTCTCCAGGTTTATCCCATTGAGTTCCCGGCACCTGCACTGCAATAGTCATTTGTAGAATGAACCAATGAACATGTCTTACAAAGTAATTACAGATCAATTCGATTCTAACTTTCTTCTGGAGACAATAAAGAGAAGAAGAAAAAACGAAATCTAATACCAAACTTTGATTTAGAGTTGCACTAACCTAATGGTGCATTTATTCAGAGACCAGTAATTTGATCACACAATAAAGCTTGCCAGGACAAAAGGGCAAAAAGTAACAGGTTTGCAAGTTTCACTGGGGAAGAAAGAAGATTTGCGCTGAGATTGACATCCTAAAAATCTATACAGTAAAACATTCTAAAAATCTAACAGCAGAAATTCAATCAGTATTTAGCACTTGCTTACAGACTTCTGGAGAGGAGTTACTACTCTAAATCATCCAGAGCCTCCACCTCAAGATGTATTAAGTTGGCTTATTAGGATTAATGCAAAAATATAAAGTTTTTATTCAGTTTGGACTGCTATTCAGTCTAGTTCCAACAAGTGTCATTTAATTGTACATTTTGTCAAACGCAGCTCAGTTCAAGCAGCAGCTTTGTAACTAACTTGCTAGGTGACCCTGTGGAAATTACTTAAATTCTCCGAATGGCCAAACCTCTTCTGTAGAATAGTAACAATACTATTGATCGCACTGGTGATGTATGAGAATTGAGAAAGATAGTGGGCCAACCTCGTACATGGTTCCTGGTAACAGGCTATCAATAAATATTATATTTCTTTCTTTCCTTAAGTCTCAAGCTAATCATAAGCAGCAGCTGTTTCATTTAGCACTATTATCTGTTAAAAGTGCCAAAAAATAATACAAGTAGCAAAACACCAAGACAGTGCATGACAATCATCAGTAATATCATATATGCGTGGCCCCTAATGATCATTCTGTACTTCTGCACCCAGGAAGGAAAAAGGCTAATGCATTTCTCAGTGTTAGGTTTCTGTGGTTTATTTTTGTTGATTGCACTGAAACCTTATTTTCGGTGAGATGTCCAGCTGACCAGCAGGCCACTCTAAAGAGCCTAAGCCATCAATACCTCAGGCTCCATTCAAGGAGGCTTTTTATAGGTTAACTCAACACAGATTCCAAAGACATCACTGTAATGCATTAACTATATATTTTAAGGGAATGGAGGAAGTTCAATAATATTGATCCAGACCGAGTCCATTTTTCCTCCAATAATTTTTCTACATCTATAAATTAGAAGTACCCTGTCCAGAAAAGTCAACATTTCCCCCTGTAGTCTTAAAGGCCTGTATATGACTGGTAATGGTCATTTGAGAGATCAATTAATCAAGTCCCCAATTTCTGAAGTTACAAACTGCTCGACTGTGAATGTAAGGATTTTCTTTTCATTAGCCTTTGAAACTGGCACAAAGCTTGGAGTATAACAAGGGAAAATGTATGTTTCAATGAATTGTTTGAGCTCAAAAAAGAAGTGCCTTGTTAATTCTTAAGCATTATATTTTAATAAAGTATATATATGTATAGATCTATTTTTTAATCCTCACCCGAGGATATTTTTCTATTCATCTTCAGATAGAGTGAGAGGGAGAGAGAGAGAGAGAGACATAGCAATGTGAGAGAGACACATCGATGTGAGAGAGACACATCGACTGGTTGCCTCCTGCACAACCCCGAACAGGGTCAAGGACAAACCACAACTGAGATACATACTTTTGGCTGGAATCGAACCCGTGACTCACTGGTCCACGGGCAAACGTTCTACCGCTGAGCCAAACCAGCCAGAGTAATAAAAGTATATTTTTAAATAATTACATCTGAACTTATTTGTACAGCATATATCTAAAAATAGCGTGTATGTGATATATTGTGAGATATAAATTGTAGAATAAACCTAAAACTGAATGAAACTAAAGATGGCAATTTAGAGATTAAAATAAAAAAGATTTCGCCCTGGCCAGTTTGGCTCAGTGGTTAGAGCATTGGCCTGCGGTCCGGAGAGACCTGGGTTCGGTTCCCGCTAAGGGCACGTACCTCGGTTGCAGTTTGTC